GTTAAAACAATTCAATAAGAAATTATCATGCAATACCAATAATCAATAATAGTCAATCATCAATGCATCAATTAACCGGATTGTAAAGGGCTTTCGCTACGTATTACAATCACACAATTAATTTACTGGTATTAAATCTCATCTCTCGAATCTCGACTTAACCATTTATAAATTAATCTGTCTATTGAAACTAGACCTAAACATTAATTCTCATCTGTCGAATCTCGAATCAATGTTTTCAAACTCATGCATAAAAGATAGGCCTAATCTAGTCACAGAGCATTAAATCAATCAATAGGAAATAAATCTAGCATTGATAATTAACAACAACAAATTACCCCTTCATATTATTTATGGATCCCCTTAAACCCTAGAAATTAAAATACTCACACATATTAAAAACTAAACTAATCAAAGCAATAAAATAAATCATGATAAAAGGAATAAAGTAAATAACTAAGATTAAGGGAAGAGAAATCGTTACCAAAATAAATCTGGAATTAAGAGTAGATTAAGAACAAAGGTTTAGAGAGATATTAAGAGAGAGAAAAATACTAAGTAGAGAGAGAAAGTCTAAGGAAGAAGGTCCTCTAATAATTCCGTACAAAATCGTATTTAAACGTTTTCTAAAACAAGAATTAAAACTAAACATCATCAGGTCTTCTAAAAACGCGCGCCCGATCGGGCGAAGGGCTGCCCGTTCGGGCGCGCCTTTTTTTTCGCGTTCTTCCCAAGCAGCATCGCCCGATCGTGCTAGAAGCTCGCACGATCAGGCGCGCCTCAGCACGCTCAGCCTACTAGTCTTGCCGCGCCCGATCGTGCTAGAGGTAGCCCGATCGGGCGGTTGCTTCTCCTTAAGCTTGGACTTCGATTGGGCTTGATTTCTCGGCCCAATCCGGATTTCCTCCTCGGGTCTTGAGTACTTGGTCCAAATGCCTCGAGATCCCAATTACCGAGCCCTTAATCACCGGCTCTCACCGATCCTGGGCTCCAAAAGTGGTCGTGTCCTTCTAGCTTCCGTAGTTGATCCATAAAGCCCGGGAAAATGCTCCAAGAGTGCAATTTCCTGTAGAATACAACTAAAACTACGAAAACACTAGAACACACAAATTAGTAATAAAAGTGGCTCTAAAGAGCCAAAAACACTACTAACAACGACCAAGGGACGGGGGTAAAACACTATATAAAATGGTCATATCAATAACAGACTTGATGCATGAGAACATTTTTCCCAGCCCTAGAAAGCAACTTTTCCTTCCACCCCTGCAACTTTTTCCAAATACGATCCGTGAGAGCAGCGAAAATATCTTTTTTTGACCTCCCTGCAACAGTTGGAATCCTTAAGTACTTCTCGTGTCTATCCACGTGTCTCATATTCAACACACCCATTAGAACCCCCTTCTGCTCGATGCTAATACCCTTACTAAAGGAAACCTCTGATTTTTCATAATTAATTTTCTAACCTGAGGCTACTTCATATTTGTTGAGAATATACACTATAACTTCGCACTCTCGTCGGTTAGCTCTAGCAAATAGCATACTATTGTCTGCGAACAGAAGATGAGAAATAACAAGACCACTTCTCCTAGCTCGTGCTCCATGAATTTCCTTCTCTAAAACTTTCTTATTAAGCAAGTGAGAAAAAGCATCCGCTACCAAAATAAAAAGATAGGAGGATAGAGGGTCTCCTTGCTGTAACCCTCGAGAAGGGATCAGCGAACACATAGTCTTCAATTCACAATAAAAGAGTACGACACAGTCATCACATATTCCATGATCAAATTCACCCACCTACCACCAAACCCCATCTTAAGGAGAAGTTTCTGCAAAAAACCCCAGTCAACTTGATCACAAGCTTTAAATCAAAGCCTAGGATATAGTTTCACCAATAAATAATATTTTAGGGTAAAACACAACAATCAATCACCAATGCATCAGATCATAAAGGGCTTTCGTTACGTATTACAACCACAGAATTAATCTACCGGTATTAATTCGCATCTCTCGAGTCTTGACTTAACCATTTATAAATCAACCTGCCTATTAAAACTAAGCCTAAACATTAATTCTCATCTCTCGAATCTCGAATCAATATTGCAAAACCCATACAATTAAACCAGCAGGCCTAATCTAATTACATATATAACATTAAATTAATCAATAGGAAATAAACCAAAGCATTGACAATCAACATTAATAAATTACCCCTTCATATTATTTATGGATCCCCACTACACTAGAAATAAAATTACTCACACATATTAAAATCTAAGCTTAGCTAAGCTAAGCAAATAAACAAGACATGATTAATCAAATCAATTAAATTACTGGAAAGAAAAAGGGAAGAAATCGTCACCAAAATATACGGAAATATGAATTGCATAAACCAAAAGTGTAGAAAGAACAAGAGTATTCACCAAACGCTTAAAACTAAAATCTGATAATTTAACTAATGAAAGACGTCCAAGCTTAGAAAAGCGTATATATACTTAAGCTGAAAAATCCTAATAAATATATATATATATATATATATATATATATATATATATATATATATATATATATATATAATCTGAAAAATCCTAATTAAAAATCCTATTAGAATCACTTTTACTTCTTTAAAAAAAGATAATTTTTAGTTTTAAAATAATTTTAATCTTAATAATCCACTATTGGTCGTTTTTACCTACGTGACAAAATCTCATTCATCATTTTTACTAATGTGGTGAGTGAATTTTTTAATTCTAAAATAAAATACAATTTTTAATTGGTCAAAATAATACATTTACTTATGTGACGCTCAAATGCTTTCGAAAAATGTCTACTTTATTTATATATATATTAGATTATATAATCAAACTAGAGTGATGAATAGTGTTAAAAGTACATTGTTGCAATATTATTGAAGCGGGAGGGAGTATTTATTGATTGAATTGTGAATATGTTTATTATAATTTTTTTTTATACAACTCCTGATGTTGAGCATTACTTGAATAAGAATTTCTTCAATTGCCCCAAGTTTTTATAAAAGGATGTAAATAGAGGTTTAGATGTTAATGTAAAAAATATGGCTCTCTTGGCTTCTCCATTTGTATTTCACTTGTATTTTATATAATTAATTTAGATTATACTTAATTGTGTTATTTTGAATATTTATTTAATTTAATATGTCAAAAATTAAATTGTGAGTATTTTTTTTCAATTCCTGGCGCGATGAGGAGTTGAATCAGAGGTCATGCTTTATATTTGCAACCGATGAAATCAACACTATTTTTGTTATTCACTTTTGCAAGTTTTATTAGTAACTACTAATTTTATACAATTTGTCAATAGAAAAACAAATCCAAACATTATTTTCATCCACACCATTCATTTTATGTGTTGAACTTAAAACTCACGTTATCCAGTTTAAATTTTGTTTAAACATGTCAAATTGTGAATTGATAATCAAATTTTGTAACATAATAATAAAAACAAATTTATAAGTGAAAAAAATTATATTTATACATGTATGAGCAAATGTATCATCAATATATATAATCATATGGGTTAATTATGTGCAATATAATATTTACATAGTTATATGTAATTTGTTAATTTATAAATAATCTTACGTAATTTGTTAATGTATTTATTTATATTATTTGAGTTAATTTTTTTTCTTAACTTAATAGCTAAATTTATTTCAACTAAATTTATTTCAACAATAATACCAATAGATTACACAAGTTTAAGTTGCGTTGATCGGGTTATTTATTGAATTTGAAGACATTTTTTTAATATATATGTCAAATTTTAAAACATATAATTGATATAAGAAAATTTTGTCTATAATTACTCTAAAGATAGAGTCGTTTTTTGTTTTCTGTCCAATTAAGATATAATGGATCCACTTTCACTTTTTCCACTAAATTAACTCCTCCAACTATCTTAGTAACTAAAAACGAAGAGAGTATTTATTAAAAAAACCCATAAAATTGGGTCAACATGTCATGTTCTGGTTTGAGTCAGCTTTGACCCACAAAGTTAAATCAGGTTACGGGTCAAAAAACTTTGTTCAAGACCCACAAAAACAGGGTGGATTCGGGTTGGGTTTTTTAGCTGGGTCGAAAATTGACAAGTTTAGATACTAGGTCTGATCAAGTTGAGTCTGTCCCAACCTAACCCAACTTTGGGCAGGTTTTGGACAGTTTTTTCAACTCGAAATCGAGTTGGTCAGCCCGACCCAATTTTTTACAAACTTCGGACAGGCTGATTGGGAAATTCACATCGATTACAAATTAGGCTTTGATTTTCGGATAATTTTACCCAGCGCTAGATAATCATGGAGGCTAAAATAAACTCATATCAGGATTCAATTCAAAGAGAAAAAGAGCTAACTTACAATTGCCCAATAGGCTAACATTCTCCAACAACAGACTATAACAAGCACTAACAGATGTAACATCCTCTAAAGGAGAAAAAGCTCTTCTAGCAATACCATCATTAGTACACTACCAGCAAATATAAACAAGAGTTTTGATTATTTATGAACTTCAAAAGCTAATAACAAATAGGAAGTGAGCCTCTTGCCCATTTGAAGAGACCGGGCTGATCTATATATCGAACAAACTACTCATCCTCCCAAATGAAGTCGAGATTTGAGAACCTAGAGGCCTGCAAGGTGCACAACAACAAGAGTATAAATACATAAATAATGACTAGATTTTGCAAATAAGATTCAAGAACATCTTAAGACCAAAGAAAAGATGTGACTAGGTGTTAGGAAAAGTAGAAAGATACAACCGCATATAGGAAATTATTTACTTTATAGTAAACAAAAATCAAACGATTACCCATGTTGAGAAATGAGTGTGCAGAAAGATAAAGATGTACACGGTATGACCATAGCCAATGTTCACAGATTTACTCGAAGGAGTTTCATTATTTGTGAGATATATAAAGGAGTACGGGTTTAGAACAAAAATAGCTGGTCAAGCCCCCCCCCCCCCCCTTCTCTCTCTCTCTCTCTCTTACAAAACACCATGTCAAAAACTCAAATAAACTCCATAAACACTTCAGAAAAGGGAAGTGAGTGACGAAAATACATTTACACCATGATGTCTAATCCACAACAATAGATACTAACACACAAGTTTTTCTCCAACATACCATTACAACCTACAATTACAAGCTGACAGTCTGTCATGCCATATCTGTATAGATCTTTCCGTATTCAAGTCCAACAATCCTCTTCTCGAGATGAATAGATGGTAGTCTAAAGGCCTCCTATTTGTCCCAAATTATTTGTAACTTGCATTCATACTAAATCTTTGATGACTAATATACAGAAGATAAACATTCACCAGATTACAATAAGATATCGTTACATACGTATCAAAAACTCTTTACTAATGTTACAAATATTTCTTTCAATATTAAAGGCCAATATTCATTTTCAGAAATAGAAAGTACAATAGAAGCAATAGGCAGTATAATTAACAAGTATCCAACTAATATTGGTAAAATACATTACCCATGACTTTACGAGTAAGTGTTATCAGAATTGGGGGAGGCGCTACGTCTATGTATCCTACATTCCCATTCATAAACAATGATTCACTCACCTAGAGGTAATTTCCAAATCAAGCAAGATAAATGCACATGGAATGGAAAAATTCAGCTAACCAGCAAAAGAATTATTTCTCATACTAAGGTGGCAGTGTGGCAGAGAGTCAGCCCAGTCAGGTATCAAGACATTCTAATCAATCGAAATTGCCTAGAAGCAACAAGTGATTAATAGGCAGCTGTAGCTAAAATGGCATTTTGGCTACTAACACTGCGCCTATGGAATCAGCAGTTCATCGCCAAATGAAGGTATCCTTCCTCAGCATAAGTCATACAAGATCAATTAGTTTGCTACTACTCAACCAATGCAAAATGGTTACCCAGATTTCAGACTCTTTGTGTGCTAGATCAATATGCTCAATTAAAGTAACTATGCTCTTGACAAAGGCCAAGTTCAGACCTTCAAGGTACAAATAACAAAGGTCATCTCCATTAAAGTGGCTACTTAAAAAAGTATGTAATAGTCCACACATGCCCTTTTATCCTCTGAAACTCTACAAAGAAAATAATGAGATGAAGTAACAAGGGGATATTATAAAGCATTATTGTAAAGTACCAAAACAAATGGATAAATCAAGTCTCACCAACAAATGAAGAGAAATTGTAAGATTTGACTTACTTAAGTACATTTAAAGGATACATTAACTCAATAACATTAGCCAACCTAGTTACAAATAGGGGTGTACAAAAAAACCCTGACCCGAAGACCCACAAACTACCCGATGGGTAATCAGTGAATTTTTTCATTTTTACGGGTTGGGTACCCGCTTAAAAAACTTGATTTCTGTGCCAGACGTTGAGTATCTCGGGTACCCGTTAGTTACCCGTTTTATTTTTATTAATATTTTTTTCCTGGAAATACTCATAAGGGTTTTACTCTTATTTCTTTACTCTCTCTCTTCTGCCACACAAAGTCATCTTCTCACTCATCTCACTCTCAAAAACTCACTGCACCTCTCATGGCAAACCCACTTATAACTCCTTTAAATTACAAACCCACTTGTAAACTTCATTTAAAACATTCAGATCTTAATCATCTTATGAATGGTGGGCTGGAAGCCTGGAACATTCAAATCATCATCATTATCCCATGGTCCATGGAGGCTTTCTTTGACATAAACTTCATTCTATCATTTGTTTACAACAAAACTAATTTTGGTGAGTTCTTATGAAAGCTGGGCTGCTTCTATGTATACCAACCAAAATCTTTCTACAAAAATTCATAAGGTGTTCCACTCGTGATCTTACAACACCACCATACCATAAGCATCAGATCTGACGCCAATGACGATGGGAATACCTTTATTTAGCCACCTCACTTCATCCTCTGCCGCCTATTTATCACTCCATCTTTTTTCTTTACTTGCATAGACTTTTGCTTTCTGACCTGCCTGACCTTTCCTACTATTTGTCTCACCTACTTGGATATTTCACAAGCCGCCTCTTAGCTACACTTTCTATCAGCAAGACACATGCTAGGCTATTGTCATTGTTGGTAACATGGTATAAGCAGAACCCTTTCTCTTACAAATAAATAAAGAATTAGAGATGTTTAAATAACAATTTAGCTGAACAAGCTGCTGCAGGAAGCAGGAGCTGCCATTAGAATATCCATCCAAATCTCCAATGCTTGTTAGATAACCTAATTCCACCATCAGCATCAATGGGATGAACATTCCCACATAACTTCTCTTTCCCAAACCACAGGTGTCTCCTTGCACCAACAAGTAAACTTTCACTTTTTACACATACCTACCGACTATTTCAATATTTTCATTGACAGTGAGATTGGATAGCAATTAATGGAGTTCCTGTCAAAAATAAAATAAAATAAAATAAAATAAATAGAATGGGGAAGGCAATTGAGAAAAAGAAGAGGGAGGAGAGGAGATTCTATCAAAATCTTTGGATTAATTTACTTCATCAAAGAAGGAACAAATATGGATCCCTCCTCTTACCCAAAATAACATCCAAACAAAAGAAATTTGATCCCTTAATCTCTTTTCCTTTCCTTCACTTCAAATTCTCTCATCAAAAAAATCCTAAGCCAACCCAAAACGTTCTTCATACTACTCTCAACTAATGAAGGATAAAAAAAGATGAATCATTATCACTCAAACATTAATAATGGCATGATAATTGCTTGGTTGTTACTGTTGGTAGACTACTTAGGATTACTAATCCCATCGCCCACTCCCAATCCGAAACTAGAAAGGCACATAGTGTGCTTTTTTTTTAATGTTTGATTATTTTAATTATAAACATGAATTCTACAATATACTTCAAACAATTTCAACTATTTGCATCAATCCAACCATGTTTTTTTTCAAAGTATATACGCCAAAGAAATTCTCCTAAAGAGAATGTACTTTATATGGAAGCCACATACAAATGGGATGTTACTCTCGATTTAGAGAGGAAACCCTATCCCAAACACACACACCTCGGGTGCATAAAACTATGCACTCAGAGAAAGAAATTACGTTATAGCCGCCATAAATTTTTTGTATCGAAACAGGAACAGTTAAGTACTAAAGTGTGTTAACTAAGAAAAAGTGAAGGTGAGGTAATTTGACACCTAGCAACCATCATTTTCCTCATTTTGAAAACAAAACAATGGCAATATGGCATAAATTTAAGCAAATACACAAGGAAGCTTCACTTTCAGTGATAAACAAGAAGACATCAAACACCAATACCAAAGAGAACAGAAAGAGAAGTAAAAAACAAGGTGCAATCAGGTATAGAAATACAAAACATACATACTTAATTACTTATTTCGTCCCCAAATATACCTCTTTGGGATGTATATTATTAATTGCATCAGTCCTTTTTCAGTAAGCGTATTTTGTCTACTTACTCAAAAGTTGGGCTTGGACCACCCACATGACCCACCCATTTCTTGCCCTCAAAAGTTCCGCTTATTCAAACCTCCACATTATTTCCCTAAGTTGCGATTAATAAAAGACAGTCTGGGAACCATCTTCTCTAACTCAAGTACCCCTTGTCATAAAAGGGAATTGTGAGTGTGCGTGTTGTTGTTGTTGTTTTTTTTTTTTTTTTTTTTTTTTTTTTTTTTTTTTTTTTTTGGGGGGGGGGGGTGTTTAAAACTTGTGCATGTTGAATAGCCTCTCTTGGAAAAAAAGTTCTAATATGGGTACCATGTATATATGAAATAGGCTTACTCTAAAAGTTATTATACCATTCAGATATCCAGATATGAGTAGTAATGAAAAGGGGAAAAAAAGAAACACTGCCTCTGTTTCAATATATTTGCAACATTAAATTTCAATGGATACAACAAATTATTTGCAACAAATGTTCTTTCCTTTTTTACTTGTCAGTTTTTCAAACTCTCTCATTACATGCAACTTTAATTTTATATCTCCGTTTACCACCCATAAACAAATTTTACCTAGATGTTGGTGAATGTCAAACCATTGCAAATAAATTGTAGCGCAGGTAAATAAATAACAGATGACGCGTGCTCCAAAAGTTACTAAAATAATACAGTCTACAATCTTCTTCTCCCAAGACATCCCATGATAACTTAATATATTTCACCCCACACCTGGCAAAGGGGATTTATCGTCGTTGGATTTTTGTCTCTCAAGTCTCAAGCATCCTGCCCATACATAACCCACATCTGATTTTTTTTTACTCTACATTGGAGGGATTCATTAAATGAGACAGTAATAGTTATCCACATGTCAGGTAGCATTTTCCCAAACAAACAATACACTTTCTTAAGTAATATCCTTTTGGGGGCTTGACAAGTTAGTACTCTGAACCTCAATCTGGATTCTAGAAGTAAAACCAACCCTACACATCACAATTTATCATTTTGGGATGCTTAAGACATTGCAGTATACAAATATAGGATAATAGATTCATTTAAATCTTATGATGACTTCACATCTCATATTCTGCAAATATCAATTAAACCTACCAGTCTATCACTCTATCAGTCTATAAAAATATATGTTCACTCCTCACCTAGATGAATACAGCTTGCAAGTCACAACACAAACATAGATTCACAAATCAACAAAGATGCCAATAAACTTGTAATTTCTTTCTGAAAGAAAAAATGAAATTCAGAAAGAAAAGATGGAGTATGAAAAGTTGAACAAGCTTCTAAACAACCTATCCTTGAATGGAAAGTTAGAAAGGAAGCACCAACAAAGCCATATAAACCCTGTAATTTTGAGGTAGTATGATTAGTTATACTATCAAATGTATCAATATGTTTTTTTACGTTCAGTTCTTTCTTTGACTTATATGTTTTTTTTACGTTCAGTTCTTTCTTTAATTTACCTTCTCAGAAAGAAAAAAAAAAAATCTGTAGATTTCTAAAAGAACCTTTCATAATTAATTGTTAAGGAAAAACTAAGATTCTTTTGTTTAACCTAGCGATATGAAATTAAATTTTCATAAACTATCAAGGAATTATTGACTTAGTTTCCAGTTATTCTCCTTACAAGTTTAACAAAGTGGTTCATAAACAATATAAATCACCAATTTCACTGTCAATCTCAGTTTGGATCTGTAGCGATCCACAATTCATCTTGATCAAACCCAATTTTGAATCCACTCTCATATGAACATTTTTTGGCAACCTTGGGTAAGAAGCTGAAGGAATCAGTCACCGAAAGTACCACAGAGTACACATTATAAACAGAACTCAATGCCTCCACCAAATAAAGGAAAATTGCGATTTTTGCGAAGTATCTTACAAGGTGATCAGCTTATCACACATAATTTTTCAAGACTCACCTACTAGCTAGTTTCAAATTTCTTGCAAGCAATATGTACATGCAGACTATAAACACTAAAATAAATCATCACAAAATTGAAAAGAAACAAGTAATTAAAAGATGATATGTCTACCATGTAAGGAAGAGAGCCACTTTACCAGTAATTTAATCCTCATCTATCTCGACAGGTTGCACAGGGGCCAGAGGCCCCTTCACACCTCCATTAGTTTCACCAAGAAGTTCACGGGCAGCTTTCTGCAAGAATTCCTCTGCAGCCTCTCGCACAGATTTCATGTCACTTATCGGAGTTTTCCTCTTCTTCTGAATATTCCTCTCGGAGTACTTCATTCTGCCTTCCTCACCCTTACTGATGGCCCTCATTCTTTTTCTCTGCTCTACAAAATCAAAGAAGACCATATAATCAAATTTCGTATGAAATGTTAAAGAAAACATTATTATCGATGAAGCTACGAGACAGGTCACCTACCAGCGGTAAGATCAGGCAAAGAGTGTCCAATAAAGCGTGTTGCTGCTTGGGTGTTCACTGTAGTGCTAGGTCGCAAGGGTGCTTCAATATAAGAGGAAAACAAAATAGCATTATTAATCATTAAGTGTAACTACGTAAGCTATCGACAAAACAATAATAAGAAACGTTACGAATATCCAGCATTGACTTTCCAACATAAAACCAATGCTGCCTACCAACACTTAAATCAGCAGTCAATACCTTTACTTTTATCCACAAAGCGCTCAAGTTTTTCTTGATACCGGCTCAACCTATCCTAAATAAGTAACCAAAACAAAGAATCAAAAAGTGTAAAAGCTGAATAGCTTAGAGCAAATAACTACAGATTTTGCACATCTACCAGAGTAGTATATTCATAAATCATAATTTACAATGTTATTTCGACAAAATCACTGAGACTGGACAAAGGCATCAAAATTGAAGGGAACAAAAAAAAAAGAAAAGCAACCAACAAGAATTCATCAAGTTAAACACTAATAAATGCTTTATTGACATCATGCAAAGTATAAAAAACTTATTAACACATAAAAAGTGATAGTACACAGCAAACTTATTCATCCAAATCACCACAAAAATATATACTACCTCCGTTTTATATTATTTGCAACGATTTGACATTAAGTAGAGAGGAAAATGTTTAATCGTTGCAAATAATATGAAACGGCGGTATCACTTGTATAGTTGTATATACTTATACTGATGTACATACCAATATCATCAAATGCGCAAAGTCAGCATTAATTCACAACCAATAAAAATAAAATAAAAATAGTAAAATAAAGGAACACTTACAATTTCTCCTTTAATTGGGTGGTGATCAGGGTAAACCCCACTGCACCTCAACCTCACTGTATTAAAAAAAGAACACAAAGAAATTTGTTAATTATATATAAAAACAAGAAGAAATTAACCAAAAAAAAAAGGGAAATTTGAGGAATTTTCATTACCAGAAAGAAGAACAGAAGTTAGTTTGGCAAGCAAAAGTAGGGATTGAGCTCGCTCCAATGGTGGTAATTGAGAAAGAACTTCAGGGTCAGAAGTAAGAGAGAGAAACTCATCAAAATTTGATTGAAGTTCATCAATGTTAGCCAATGTTGTTCTTACTCCTTCCATTACTTTTTCTGGGATTATATTGCTGCTACTGCTGCTAATTTTATTATCTTCAGCCTCCATTGTTGATTTCTGGTAGGAAAAAAACTAGGGTTTGAAGAAAAGGGAAGAGGGTTTTTCGATTAAAGGATAAAGATTGGATTTTTCTGTGAAAATTTGATGTTTTTTGCACAAAATTTTGAGCCGTTTTTAGGGGTTTTCAAGGGTTGAAATGATTTTAATGGCGGCAGAGGTATTTATAATTAAGGTTGAAAGATTAATTTCAGGCATAATATTACATCATATATTCATATTTATACGTCAGCTTTCAACCTGAATTTGTTACGGATTACAAAGGACAAACTAACCTATGGATTGGAATATTGGATTTCGAAAGTCTACTTGTAATTTAGGGCAATGATGCAAATTTGTAAGGTAATGTCTTAATTTGTCTTTTGGAATATTGTAAGGTAATAATCCAAATTCTATTGTAAACTCAAGTTAAGTGAAATTGTGTGATTGTGTTACATTATTTTGATTTTTTTATCACTCGTTTATATATGTTTGATGCTCAATTAGTGAAATAGTCAAGTGTTTAGATTTGATTTACTCGCAATGGCAGCGCTTTTATGGTTGAATTTGCTAGTAATAAGTGTAACAGTTTAGCTTGTTAGATCTCTATGTTTGTTGTGCTGGTTTGATATTGATTTCATTTACTTTATAAGCTTGAATTGTACTATCAATTATTTATTTTTATTTTTTTGAATAGATTTGTATCAATTATTAATGCCAATTGTATCAAGATGTTGTTTTAGGGTGATATAATTTACAAGAGAGCAAACTAGCAAAGTCCGCTTAACTTATACTTCGTAATATCTTACCTTCAAACTAATTTTTTTCCATCATGCATGGACTTGAGACTATAGTGGCAAGGTGCACACATCGATTAGAGTTGAACATATAATTATTAGGGCATGGTCAACCCAAAGGGTAGGGGTGACCATGCCATTGAAGCTATCATTGAACTTGAGATTTTCGATGAGGGTGTTGACAATTGTGGAAATTGGGGAAAAGCGGAGGAAGCTTCAATGAAAGATGGAGGGAAGAAGATGGATCTATTTTTTGGGTAGGTTTGTACAAACACCGTTTGTAATATTTTGTCTTACGTGTTCGAATATATAGGTCATCAACGTGAAAGTACTTTGCTACCCCTTTTAATAACATGAGAATTTTTTTAATTTTTTTTTAACCCTTGATATATATTATATTAATCAATCATAAAGATAAAGCTAGTAAATCAACACAAAAAAAGTATATTAAGCCGTATAAATCTATGGTCAAATGTGTTCTTTTTAAATCTTATATGGAGTCTAAAACTTTATTAAAAAAAAACACATAAGCCAAAAAAAAACACACACACAAAACAAATAAAATTTGAGAATGAGTGCACAACACAAAATTCACACCATGAATGCACGATGCACCATTTTCCTTGTTGATTAGTTCATTCACAAAATGGACCCCACAACCAAACATGTCACAAAAGGGCATTTTAGTAAAAGCACAACCAAATGTAGTTGCTTTGATAAAATAACATTACCAGCACCAGGCGACCATACAAATCTCACACCACAAAGAATACAAGTGTACAACATTCAAAGCTTTGCCCCTATTTTTTTATGGCCCCCTTCAAACCAGGAAGATAACAAGTCATGCATTTTTGGCAACCATCCATAAAAATACAACTTTTCCCCATTTTATCTTCTACCTTCTTTTTTCTTTTTCCTTTATTTTTTTTTATTTTTATTTTTGTAATTTCCAAGTCCACCATATTATATCTACCTATTTTACAAAATTAGGGGAAAATTGAAAGAAGAAAATGTTGGAAGCAGGGGAAAAAGAAAAAAAAAAAAAAAAAAAGAAAGAAGGGATTTTTATGGAAAGGGGTGGAAAAATCATGGCTTTCTTCTAATGTCCTCCAAACAAAGATAGAAAGAAAGCATTATTTTGTATTCTCTCTCCTCTCTCTGTCAAAGATGAAAACTTTAATGCCAGAAATACCCTTTGTTTCAGGGATTTTTTCCATCAAAGTTTTCCATGTTCATAACAAACCACCAACTCTCATTTCCAATTCCAAAATTCCTTGTTTTGTGAGGATGATGAGGTGAGAGGTGAGGTGGGGGCCCTTTTTGGGGTTTTCACATCTCTTGCCATTCAATGTTCCACAGAAAGTGAAGAAACTTCAGCCTTCTTGCCTGCCTTATTACTATCCCTTTTCACGCTAACCCTTCCTCTTTCTCTCTCATCTAATACCCTCCTTTCTCTTCTATTCTTTCCTTTTCTCTCTCATTAAATCTTATCTCTCTCCTCTCTGTCTTTTTCTTCAATTTTTTAGGGTTTGTTCTGATTTGGGTTTCTTGATTTTGGGGGTTTCTGTTGATTTGGTTGGTGGGTATTTGATTCTGTAATTCTTATTAGGGTTTGTTGAATTTTGGGGATTTTGTTGATTTCTGTGGATTTGGGTTGATGGATATTTATTTTTGAGCAAAAGGGTTTGTTCTGTTTTTCTGATTAGGGTTTCTTATTTTGGGGATTTTTGTTGATTTGGGTGGATGGGTATTTGATTTTGAGCAAAAGGATCAAAAGGGTATTTTTTTAGTTTTTATTTTTTGTTTTCATGGATTCTCGTCGATCAAGTTCATCTGGTGATCAGGAGGCTATAATCAGGGTAAAGCATCAGTCTTTGTTACAAGATTACTTGGTCTTGCAAAAGGTTTGTCCTTTTTTCTGTATTATGTTCTAATTTTGCTTGGATTATGTGATTTTCTTGATTATTTTTCTTTCTGATTTTGTGGAGTTTATATTAGTATGATTATGTGGTTAATTTTGATCTGTGTTGAAACTTACAAATTAATTGCATTCGGATTGATTTAAATTTGTTTGATCACAGTTGAAATTTGTTGGGTTTGGTGAAATATAAGTTGATCACAGTTGGATTTTGTAGGGTACGACACTATGTATGATACAATTTGAGTAAATTACAGTCAAATTTTAGGGGATGTGATATAATTTGGGTATGATCATAGTTGAATTTTCAAGATTTAGATTCAATTTGATTTAATTTCTGTTGAATTGTATAGGGTTTGATTTATGCTAGTTAATTGCAGTTGAATTATATATGGTTTGATTCAATATGAGTTTAACTCGGTTTATCATGCTTATAATTTGGAGGATGGTGGTAATACTTGAAAGTTGAAAGATGATGTGTTGATTTTACTTTGTTGATTATGCTTATTATTGTCTTTGGGTTTTTATGCTTAGTAAATTGTGAAATTTTGTGTGGATTTCATATCAGCAAGAATCTAGTTTTGTCAAGGAAAGTGCTGACTTATTAGTGTTGGAGTAAAGTGTGGGGATATTTATATAATCTTTGAGATTATTTAAAGATTTTCTTGGTTTTGTTGGTTTAGATGAATCAACTAACTAGTTCATTGTTTTCTTTGTATAGGAATTTGCAACAAAGAAGCGTAAGCTGAAGGAAACAAAGGAAAAGAAAGAGACCCTTTTGGATGAAGTCAGGTAATTTGTGTTAAACAAGTGCTTGTTTGGCAATCACCTTTTCTTTTTAGAAATATGTGTGGATGGTGGATAAGCAATCCTGGTAATGGTTCTCACAAATGAACGATTATACTGATGTCAGAACTACTATATGATTTTGCACTTTGTTACTTTTCCATAGACTTCCCTCACTATCAAGGTTCCCAAACTAACTATTACTATTATATTTCATTTGAATTCAGATTCCTGAGGCGGAGACGCAACCTCCTGTTGAAGATGCAATCACAAAATCCAGAACATCAGCAAGATTTTGTTCAGTCCCAAAAAACTCATACTAATAACGAAGTAGGAACAAGTGGAAGACATTCTAGTACTAGTGATCCAGCTTTGCCAAATTCACAACTGGCAATAGGTTCTATATGGAATTCGGTAAGTTTCTTGGATTTCTTTTTGGTGATCTCTCTGTGATCGGCATATTGGTCTATTGGATATGCGGCAGGATGTTTTGGGGCACATTATGATGCCTGATTTGTGCTTTCTATTGTAATGCAGGCTACTCTTGCTAAAGAGGAGGTGGGTTTTCCATCAGTGAAAGTGGGGAAGAAGCCTAAGGATTTGTTTCCTAATGGCAAAAGAGCTGAGAAAAGGAAAATTTCTTGGCAAGACCCATTAGCGTTGAAGGTTTAAGCTTATCACCGTCGCTGAGAAGTACTTACAATTTGTGCAGAGGACCTTATTTGACCTTGTATTAGTGAATCATTCTTTTCTTCTACCAGTAGTTTATTTTCTAAAAATACATGTAGAGTAAAACATGCGCCTCCATGGAGATGTTAATTTCTTGGCACCATATGTATTTGAGCTTATAAATAAAAGTATATAAAAGGAAGTTGATATGGTAAGTGGTTGCCAAATTGTATTACTACGTAGTTTGTTTGTCATGAATCTAGATCACTTCATTCATGCTTTTCTATACCTTTCAGGTTGTGATGACTACTTACCCTTTACGCTGTAGTGTTTAGCACAGCATTCTAACAGATTAATAGATCTTACAGTGTTTTCTCTTCATTTATTCTGTTTTGGTATCTACAATGTCGAGCTGCATACCCGGTTGCATAATGGTATACTGATGGTTGCATAAGCAAATGTGATGGTATGTGATCTACTCTTCACAGCATGATTTGGAATTGTGAATGATTACTGGGATTTGGAAGTGTCTTAAGGTCATTGACACTAGTAATCTCAAGTTTCACCTGTCTAGCTTTAGGTTGCAGTGGTTATGGGAAAATTTGCCCAAATTGTCTACTTGAGTTATTTTAGCTTTGTTACTGTGAAGCTTCACATTAGTAGGATCCTACGATATTTACTTGCACGGTTGCACCAACTCGGAGGCAAAGTGCCAAAGATCCCCTTTTCCCTTGCCACGACGCCCCTGATCTTTCATCCCTTACCGTACACATACTGTATGAATGAATATGATTGTAGGATCCTTTTAATGACGACATCATACCTAAAAGAGGAGAATGATCAAGTGCAGAATATAATGCTCAATTGTTTCAGATTCGGGTGTTTCAGATGGTTGAGTAATGTATGCACACCCAAATATTGACAGTGCCGGAGGTAACCTGTGTCATTAAATGGGTCTGTCTTGGCTATCATTCGATAAACAAGTGCGTTCACTTGAACCTGTATCATACACCATACCTCTGTCCCTGACTATGGAATCATGGTATGGATTACTAGGCTAGTAATTATAAGTGGTATCTCAACAAATAGCAAGAAGATTAATTTCTAACCAACTGCATTTCTTTTGATTACTTCTTATTAACTAGTTAGAAGTGTCAATTGCCGTGAAATGGAAGCATATTTTCGTGGCCAAAGGTAAACCTTTGCTAAATTCTACATAACATTTAAAAAAAAAAAAAAAAAAAAAAAAAAAAAAAAAAAAAAAAAAAAAAAAAAAAAAAAAAAAAAAGAGCAAATGTACTGAGAAGATAAATCTAACAACCTTAGATTAGCCTTTTGTGCTATTTAGTTCACCAATTCACCAGCTTTCAATTGTCAGATCAAATTTTGTTCTCATATAGCTCAACATTCTACTGCTGCATCTTGGGAGCCTTGCTCACCTTCTACTGCTTCCTTCGGCACATTTGACACAACTATGAGACCACCGCCAATCTCTCGTAGTAATTTCATGTGTTTACTACTCTTTCTGTGATTAGCCATTGTTGCTTCATCGTAAGTTCCTTCATTGCACATCTTGCAGTGCCATAACTTCACAGGTTTCCCATTCATCTCCTGACTATAACCACTTTTCTTCAATTCTTCTGTCTCTGCTTTATCCCTATCTTTTCCGATCTTTACAGTGTTCAGTGTGTTGACTATTTCTTGCTCACTTGCTTGGCTTTTGCCTGGCTTCATACTTTCATTAGTTACTTCTTCATTATTGAGGCCCTCCTCGCTCTCCAAGCTCTTTTCTCTGAAAACTGAATCAGAATCCCCATTACCATCCTCTTGATGAGCCAACCCTGCCTTAGCCTTGTGTTTTTTTCCTTTATAATGATCATTCAAGTTTTTCTCTGATGCAGCCGATACTTGGCATAATGAACAGTACCATTTGTGTATGTTCTCATTCTTTCCCTTATCTGTTTCAGTGCGCATTCCTTGACTAACTCCAAGCCTAGCCTCCTTCGCTTTGTGCTTCTTTCCTTGGAGATGACTATGTAGGAGTATTTCGGAAGTAGCAGATATTTGACACAAAGAGCACTCCCATTTCTTGGTAACTTGGCTCTTCTCTTCCTCCATCGGCTGCACATTGATTTTTTCTTCCTCCATCGACTGCACTTTGGTTTTTTCTTCCTCCATTGGTTGTTCTTGGTTTTGCTCTTCCTCCTCAAACTGTGCCAAGCTTTCCAATGCTTGCTCCATAGGCTGCCTTGAATTTTCAACGGAATTATTTTCAGTGCTATTAATGCTGGCTGTGTCACCAGATTTAGTCACAGCTTCCTTTGCTTTGTGCTTCTTCCCATGTAAATGCAGATTCAACCCTCCTGCTGATGTAGCAGAAACTCCACACAAGGAGCAATTCCATTTTTTCTTCTGCAAGTCCTTACTCGCAACAGAAGCCGTCTCTTCATCACTTCCTGCTACTGATGTTTCAGCTTTCCTTTTCATGCCAGAGATGCCTGAACTAGGCATAGCCTGCAGAATGATGATAAAGAACACAAATTTGTCAAATGTCAACGACTTACACAAAATGTAAATTGATGGGGCTATGAGGAGAGAATCAAGATCAATCAATTAGCTATAACAGTAGGTAACCAAATATATGACAGCACAAATAAGATACTGCTAAACAGCAATCTATTCGCTCACCAGCCGGTCAGCCACCATAACGGAACATTAAGGACTGAAAGAAAGAGAAGTTCAGACCTATTAAACATATTAATAAACAAGAATGGCCACAAAAGTTGAGATCTTGTGCCATCCTGCTGCATAAGCATATGAATTTTGGGTTTGACATAGTAGAAGTGCATACTCGTTAACAATGAAGTACTTAATCATTATGAAACACCTCCAAAAAAAATCACTGCCAACAAAGATCATCTAAAAAGCCGTAGCTCTAGAAAATCAGTGAAATATCTCAAAAACACAAGCTTGTATACATGGGTGTTAACTTCCAATAAATAGACCACAAAATCAACATTGCCATTTGCACAAAAATGTAATTCAATAAGATTTCTTAATGCTCATGTTAAGAAATACTTCGTAAGAACTAAGAAGTCCTAACACAGCTTAATAGCTTATGATCTGACCAAGTCAACAACTCAACATGCAAGGAATTCTTGTTCAGTCTCCGGATAGAATCATTTCATCCAAAATCAAGCAATCTTTTTTAAACAACTTCCCAATATGCTTTAAGAAATCTCATTAACACCTCCCTCCCCCCCCCCCCCCCCCCCCTCGACACACACACACACACATAAACAAAACATAAAACTGCCATTGAGAATGGAAATTTATCTCGGAGATAGATTTATCGTTACATGTCAAAGTCAACAACATGCATGATGCTTACTCTACTTGCAACCCCCCCCCCCCCCCCCTTACCCCTCGAAAGGCAAGAGCTACAACATTACGACAATTCAATCCTCATAGTACTTAGCCAGAAAGAATCATATTACCACATCATATAGAAGCCAACAACAATCAACAATCAACAATGCAACAAAAACAAAGAGTACAATTGATTAACAACAACATTCCACGATTTCGAGCAACAAACAAATCAAAATTAGTCACAATGGTAACAAAATTTCACCTGACCCAACACTTGCTGTTCATTCCCACCAAAATCAGCCATAGATTTTCCTGCAAATTGAGCACCAACCAAACTTGCAACATGATCATCATTTAACACATTACTCTTAATTTGCAATGAATCATCATCAGTTCCACCAACCAAATTCATTTTCTGCCCAATTTCATCAACAGAATTCCCTACATTAAGCAAATTATTATGCAAATAAGATGATCCGCCTCGAAAACCCGAAAACCCTGATGGATAATTCATTAACATATAAGGATCAACACAATTAGAATCCCTATAAAAACGCCTCATACCCATGATTTCTTCCTCCATCATAAGCTCCATTCTAACCTCGGCTTCGAGTTTTCGACGTCGAATGATCTCAGCAGCAATGATCTCTTCCCTAATCTTCTTCTTCTCCTTATCTATCTCTAGTTCTATTGCATCCCTTAACAATGAATTCTTCCCGCCATTATCTTCTTCATTCTTCACTGGAATTTCCCCTAAAAAAACACATTATTGATAAGAAAATTATATAAAAAAAGCTTGAACTATTAAGATTTTAACAGGGGTTTAGCAAATTGTCACAAAGCTTAAATTATTTTGTTGTTGCTAATTTCTGTTTAATTTGGGGTTTAGCAAATTATCAAGAAAAGCTTAATTCTTTATGTTTTTGGGGTTTTAGCAAATTTCTGGGATTTTTTAGTTCTTAATTTAATGGGGTTAGCAAATAAATCATCAAGAACAGATAAAAAATTAAAATTTTGGGAATCTGGGTTTTTTGGGGTTTAACAAATTCAATTCAATAATTGATTTACAAAAACTAACCTGTCATTGGAAAATTATGATCAAACAAGAATGTGAGAGAAGATGAAATTGAATTGGGTTTTTTTTCCTGAGAAATTGAATTATTATGAATTAATTTGGGGGAAATGACAGAGGAAATTATTAAGGAAAGAGAAACAGAGTGAATGAGATAAACTGAGGAAGTGAAGAGTTTAATTGAGTTTTTTTTTTAGAAAGTTTAATTGAGAATTAATTGCAGTATGCACCCAATAAAATAAAATAAAATTAAAAATAAAGAATCGAATAAAGTTTAATTGTTTTTGGAATGAAATAAAAAGAATCGAATAAAATAAAATTGCAACATCCCAAAAAAAAAAAAAAAAAAAAAAAAAAAAAAAAAAAAAAACTTTTTGTATGCACCAAAAACTATGACATTTTTATCAGTTGCCTTTTGTAGTTTTGTTGTTCTCAATGCATGTATAATGTTGTGGGTCGAACACTCAAATCGTGTATTCTTTATTTCTTTAATACAGAGTACAAAGTACAAACTATTTTGAGTCTTTGACTGTTTGAGGAACTCAAATTTGCAATTCTATGTTTTGACTTTTATGGAATTAATTTAATTTACTTAATTAAACTACTTTAGCTTGAACTGAACTGCATGATTCTGATCAAAATGTAACGAAAAGGAACTAGTCATTTTTTTTTTTTGATGCAAAAAAGGAACTGATCATTAGTTGCCTCCCTAGTCCCTCAATTTTTTTTATTCTTATTTTTATTACAACACTTGTAATTTCATGCTAGTTTGAATTAAATATACTACCGAGTACTCTAGTAGTGGTTTGTTGCACATATTTTTAAGATTAAAAAAAAAAAAAAAACTTGTATACTTCACCTTATTAAGTATGTTTTAAGCCATGAAGTGGCACTATAATAACTATGGTTCGTATAATTCACCTTATTATCTGATAATTTGATTTGATCAAATCATCATTTGATTTGACTAAATATTGATCTTAATGTATGTTAACCTATAAAATGATAAAGTATGTAATAAGCTAAAAAATAATGTACGAGGGGGTGAACTTACCTCTATGTACTTCCGGGTGTATATAAATGTTGTTGACTAAATGTAGCCTAGACAGATTTCATGGAGATTTTATTTTATTTTTATTATTGTGTGATATAAGGGAGTGAGATTTTGTAATATAAAGTGGAATCCAATGAGCAATTTGATATTATTGGAGATGAACGCCTGTCTACAAGGTTTACATTGGGCGGCAGCAAAGTCCTTGAAAGCGGTAACTATATACACGGACTCAGCGTCTATGATTCTGCTACTGAGGAACTCACAGGTAAGTGATATTGGTCTTCGATGGACGGCAGACCGAATTCGACAGATGAGTACATGCTTTGATTGGTGCTGCGTCCATAAGGTTCCACGGGACTTGGTCCAGCAAGCTCATGACTTAGCTACTACATCATGCAATAGTCTTTCGTCCTTTAATAATTATATGTAATTTGCTTAAGCTTATATGTAAAAAAAAAAAAAAAAAAAGATATTACTGGATCATTTCTCAACAAGGAATTGTTCAAATTCATCTTAAACGAATAAAAAGAGTTGTGATCAATTTGAAATGAATTAAATATCAAGTTGTCAAATTAGTCCCATCATATGTTTCCGTAGCATCAACTCTATATGAATTATATTATGTTACTGACTAATCAAATATATCAATAGAGAAAAAATTGTGAAGTTAACATTGTGCCTTGTTCAACATCAAAGTCAAATATTAGTGAGGATGAATGATTAAAGTAAATGAAATTTTATTGAAGAAATGCAAATGGAAAAAAGAGGTATCAATCATACTTGGGCATCTAAACTTCATTATAGTTGTACTACAACACCATTTTTGAAAAGTTTATCTCAAAATATAAAAAATAAGATCCCTCAATTTCCACCCTAGGATGAGAATTCGATTCTTATTGGGTGAGGCGAATTAGGATGAGGATTTGATTCTATTGGGTGAGACAGATAGGGGAAGCATGAGTTACAAATTGGTTTAACTTGTTGATTCTTATGCAAGTATATCAATTTATGGTTTACTCAATTTTGGAAAAGGTACACAAAAATTTGAATGATCATTCAACATTCCTTGGGTTGTTATATGGCGACATAGTCCATAGAATAAACTTTATGCTTTGGATAAGTAAAAATGGTGTAGAAGTTTGATCTTCAGTTATCGCTAGCACAGGTTTAACTGACTAGGTCTAAGTCGAGAATTTTGTGGTGTTTCTTCTTCCTTCTTTACTCTGTATAACCCATGATACACTCTAGTTATTCATTTCATCATAGGTACCCCATAAGATCCTTAATGCCACAACGCGAGAATGAATGCTCGACATTTTATTCATGGAAGTCTTCCTAAATAGTCAAGTCTACCACTTGGACACTTTGACAGGTTATATCATTGAAAAAACAGCAGAAAAAAAAGAGAATAACCACAAACAAGAAGACATTATGTAGTAATCAGCGTCAATAAATAGTCTGCATATTTTCCTAATCCTGGAAAGAACATGATTAACACCAAAAATCTGTACATCCTATTAAGCTCCAGTTTTTCATTATATGCACCATAGTAGAACAGATGTATATTACCAGCAGTTGAGTCATATCTTCATGTTGAGTCAGCTTCATTTACAACAACCTGAAAAATTAACAGCGAACAATTCTGCATGTTATATGTGATTTATCAAATTAGCTTGCTTCAGTCTGTTCTGGTTCTTGTTTGGAATTATCAGCTTCAGTCACGGGCTGGCTTGGCTCGGATGGTGATGGCTCCTCATTTGTAGATGCAGGGGCATTTGGCTGTATGGGTTTCTTGAACTGAACCAGGATCATTGTCATGTTGTCACAGCCTTCTCCGCCAGCAGTTGAAGGGGCCAAACACCTGTCCATCACTCTCTCGCAAACTGCAGATAGTTTAGTTTCCTGCACCGTTCAGACACATTGTCATAAAAAGTTACTCACAAAGATCTCCCGCATCTATCATTCCAGAAATTCTAATTTATGTTTGGAGTAAAAGGAGTTACTGCTTGAAGAGTAGTAATGGAATTTAGAGCATCATGTAAGATGCAACTCATGCAACCAAAGTTAAATTATTGGAAAATACATTATTTTGAATTTATAAACAAAATTGTGCCAAACAGTTTTGACTTACCGTGCTCAATTGTTCATGTACAAAGTCGACAAGCTGCTGGCTTGACATGCAGTCCCTTTGAACAACCAACAGAGTAATCAGTAACCATATAGCAAGAATTGTAAGGGAACCGAAAATAAGATAGAGTATATTTTAAACAAAATATAAAGCAACAATGCACCAAGTGAAAGCTAGCACATTATCTGTTGTAAATTTATCAATTGACCAACATTAAGCATTAATTTATATCAATCAGACAGGGACTTAATGAGGATGATAAAAAGAGAAGTTGCTTAAGATGTGGTTACATCCAATCCAAACCAAACATGAACTAGTTACAGCATATAATTGCAGGAAGAGTAACTGGCCATTTACATTGCAGGGTGGCATGAAAGGATTAACTTGTAAACCATAGCTCGTAAAAATTAAGGGAAGGCTTGAAATGCTTACCATATGCCATCACAAGCTAGCACCATAAAATCATCATCATCACAAAGTTCAACCTAAATTGAGAAGGAACAGAAAAGAGGGATTATCAGAGCTCATATGTGATTGGAACTTGTAAGTTGTAACTATAAAAGGAGAACAACGACAATTCAAAACAAAACTGGTGGCAGACATAACTTAGTTATATTTGAGAAACTAACCAGACGAAGACATAACAATTACAATTTACAAATATAAACGTATTGCAGTGATATACTAACCGCATTAATGTCTGGATTTGCTGTTACAACTTGCTTTTCAACAGGAAGAAATTTATTTTGCTTGAACTCCATGTCACCTGTCCAAGTGAGCCAACGTTAATAATTAACGAAAATTCATTTCTGATATAAAATATATTCTATCCAGGTATTTCAATCACTTCTACAGGTGTGATTGTGATGTAGCAGGTAAGCTTAACTTAAGCTTTAGGTTGGGTCAACTGCAACTGCAGTTTGAATACGCTAAGTAACTAGAATCAAGCTCGACCTAAGTGACACTAAACTCTAAAGCACACAAGCTGGTAACTAAACAAACTGTTTAATGACAGAGTTGATCACTTGTTATGAAGTAGTTAAATAGCATTATGCCCTCTTTGGATACAAAAATTTCATTTGAAAATCTAGAATTTGATAAATCTAGCGTTTGGATGTTCAAAGAATTTCAAATCTGGAATTGTTCCCAATTATTAGATGCTCTTAAACAGCCTTTGGATTAGGGATTTGAAACAAACATTGATTAAAAGTTGTAATACTTAGCCCACATCCCATCCCACACTCTCTGTATCCAAACACTACCTTAAATTCTATGTTTGTCACGTAACAAGGTTTGTTGTTTAGTTAACCTAGGAAGTTGTAAACTACTTTTCTTAATTTGAAAATGATCTCCATCAAAATTTAAAATTTTCAACTTTTACAGAAAGGAAACCAACCAACCACACCATTGACATCCAACCCCTCCTCCTCCCCCCCCCCCCCCCCACCCCGATCCCCTTGTCCCCTAGTGAAGGTCCGCCTCTGGGTTCAAGTACCACTCATCAGCATTAAAGAAGAATAGGAAACTTGTAAGACTCCGGAGTATCATATCTCTGATAATCTGATATCAGTACAAGGAAACTGACAAGTTATCTCCCAAAAAGATTGGGCAGAAAAAATTCCAACATATAAAAAATAAAAAAAGGCATGAGCTTAAGTACCTATAGCTCTTGCAAGGTTCAGACTGCCATTTACCCGTCCTGCATGGATAAACCCGCCAGCTCTTATTATTCTTTCCTTCTCAGCATCCAGTTCAGGTTTGTGATCTCTAGACAAATTATAAGCCTGTGAATGGTATAGGATGACAAAATCAAGAAACCAAGAAAATTATACTGTGATTTGTTATAAATCACGTAGTTACAGAATATCAGATAGTTATGTGCTGAAATACTTCTTGGATATTAGTTTGTTTGCTCAAGAAGTGGGAATATCAAAATATACCTGACCCTTTCTGGAGATTACACAACGGGAATCACCAGCATTGGCCACAAGAAGTTGGTTTCCCCTAATAACAGCCACACAAGCAGTGCTTCCAGAAGTAGGACCAGAAAATTCTGAATGAGGCCCCTGGTTGACATACCAACTAAGTCAGAGCAAGAATAACAATATAGTAGCACATCAATCTGTGAAGCATGGATATCTTTTGATAGATAAAAAAAATCAAATGTTGCAAAAGCATCCTATGATCACAGATTATAGTCCTTGGACTAGATTTAGCACACATCTGGGATGTTGCTTTATTACATTGCCTAAGCACTGGACCTTTATCCTTCGTAGGTTTCTTTTTTTTTTTGGGGGGGGGGGGGGGGTGGTGTAGGCACAAGTTATTGAACATTGATTTTCAGTTAAGACTAGGAAAAAGTATGACTGTATGAGACCTGAGTAACCACAAAATATAACAGAAACAATTGAGTCATCATTTTAGCAACAGTAAAAGCAATAAATGAAATACAATGTTACTCCACTAAAAAAAGGATGGAAGAATTGATGCACTAAAACATTGATTAAATCAACAAAGAAGATGTCAAACAGATCAAACCAATTGTTTAAACCCATTAATTTAAAAAGGAAAAACACACGAGACAAAACTTGTATTGCTTCAAGCCTAAGAAGATCATATGATGATAATTAAAATTCATCAGAAACGAACAAAAGTTGAAACTCCAATCTATGACTCCCCCACATCAACAAGTTGTTCACTAAATAAGATAACAGTGGCTCAAAACAGGAATATGCTTAAGAGCTCAAGATACTAAAAAAAAAAAAGAATAGAAGCAGAAACAAAATCACATATACACACTAATGTTTCATAAAATTATACTTTTTAACTACTATTTTTGTCAACTAATAAAAGTACCCACATCTTCATGGGCCCAATCATCATCATGCCCATTGCCATCAGCAGCTCTTGGAGACCATATTAGCCCCTCTATCATTCCAGTGAATTTGTTTATTTTATCACCCAGAACAGCCAACTCTCTCCACCCTCTTTGTCCACGCATCATTTCATCCATTCTGATTATCAAAGCACCAACAGAGCAAGTAAAGCAGATGAATTAGACCAGTAAATAGTGAAAAGGTATCTGAGTCACATAGATTGAGTCATATAAACTACATATGCTTTAAGAAGGTTATCTTCCTCTTCATCTAGTGTGCTATTGAAGTGAAATTCTCTTGGGCACACACAGGGGTGGGGGTAGGTGGGGTGGGTTGGGGGGGAGATAGTTCAGGAAACTTGAAGTCAAAACTGCTGATATTAAAGCCTTTAGCCTATCCCAATCAATATACGCACATTATTAATCTAGACGTTTCTAATAGTGCAAACATGAGAATCTACGTGAGCAGTAATGCAGGATATAAGATGGAGCACTAAGCAATGTTGACCTGTCAAACAATAATACCATGTTGGCATGTTAATGCAGTTTACTTTTGTCAAGACTTTTCAAATGACCTAAAGGCACTGACCAGATGCAAAATTGTATTTACAAAAGCATATACGTGAGGCTTTCTCAAATTTTCAAAAAGAATCTTGATCCACCAAAACCAAAGGAAAATAGATAATATTAAAGTCCATAATCCCAAAGTAAATATATAATCACCTAAAGAAAGATTTTTGCAGAGCTGTTGATAAGTCTCCAGCAGAATATGCTTCACTCTTAAGCACTTGTTGATGAAGGAATTTCGCACAGAACTTGGCTACTACCTTACCTGCAGAAATAGAAGATTTGCATGAGAACTGAATTCAATAAATGACAACAAATTCACCAAACATCAACCTAATAAAAGCAGCGTCAAAATAATCAACTTTTTAGGAACAGAAGTTACAGAACTTCAAATATGACATACATGATAAGCCAAAAGGTAATAAATAATATCAATCAATGAATCTGCAGTCATGTAATTTCTGAGACATGGGAGAGAATTGTTGAAAAGATTTAAAAATTTCGCTAATACTAAGAAAATTTAGCAACTGAAAGTCTGAAATATCCATCTACAGGGTCGCCAAGTACAGCAAGTCAGTAACTAGTTAAGCAGATTTCAAATACATTAGTGTGCTACGATCAAGCCCCAAAGAATAGAAAAGTGAGGATATAACATCAAAATCTAACTTGCATGGTAATAATTTTTGAAGACGCTGATCAGCTTACTACAACAATCAGTTTAGCAATGTATTGAAATAATTTTGAACATTTGAAGAGCTTTTCTTTTCGTCTTTGTGTGACAGGCCAATGTATAATCAATACTTCCTCTGTTTTATTTACTTGACTAACAATCCTAAAATGGAAATGTCATATTACTTGACCCATAGTATATTGGTAAGCTTCTGGTAGTTAGATTCATTAAATTACCCTTCGTAAGTGCATGTGGGTTCAGCAATTCATGTGCTTTCAAAGAATAATAAGGTAAACCATGTGCACAAACTACATTGTCTCTCTCCAATCCTTAAATATTGTGTCAAGAGCTATGGGTCAAGTAACAAAAGAGTAAATATTTCAGATCATCACGGCATTTTAATAATTCATCACAAACAACATTTTCCTGTAAGGAAAGAATGATCAATGAATGCAAAAAGCTAGCAGGATCAAAGCAAATGGGCTTGCAGAAAAGTAGAAAGGATTGTCGTTTTATCATATCATGCAAACTAATAACAGGTTAATCTACATCAAACACAAATCATTGATCACAGATTGTACAAGCATACAATTTGCAAATAATTCCTCCACAAAGATTCATGATAACATAACTAACAAGATGATTTCATAATATGAATCTTCTATGTAACCTATTAAAAATTTAAAACAAACACAACCACAGTTCCAACCACACAAATTAACTCTTATGGCAATGAATATAGTAAATGTCAACAATCAATATATACAATCAAGTGTTAACTTTCAACAATCGACACAGTCTTAACTCTTATGTCAAGGAGGTCAAGGTTGATATAAACCGCATATATAATACGAACATGCACAACTCCTGAAAGAAATAGAATAAGCTTCAACTACTTACCTCCATGACCATCATAAACGCCAAAGAATGAAGTTGAATCATCCAGATCGGGAAAGGCAGCATGCTAGAAAAACAGATTACGAATTCAGTCAAATACTATTAAGAAGCAATATCTCAGGATGAAAAAGAAGTTCAAGTGGAAGTGATATAGAGAGATCCAGAAACAAGCCATGTATCAGAGATCTTACATATACTCAACTACTCAAGTTTTAATTCCCCTCATGATAAGAAAAACTCACACCTCGAAGGGCTCGAACATTTAAGGGGCTAAATCTTGAAAGAGTAGAGTGGGATGGCATACGTATATCAGAGGTTGCAATTTTTTCGTCAAGCGAGGTAGCAAAATTATGAACATCACTAAAAAGTAACAATATGGACACAAAGATCAGACAAAACCATAAGGATATGTGTCTACAAATAGACTACTTGACATATGCTGTTTCGCAGCATGAGTAAAAGGACATTTAGCTATTTAGGAAAATTTCACAGCTCATTCTACTAGAAAATCAGTCCTTCATTAGAGGAAGAAAACCTTCATCAATCCCAAAACGATTGTTGTCCATTCTTTTTTAGTTTATCTCATTTAAATGTCCACTAATCCTCTTTGGCAATAAATGCATATTGACCCGATCACCTCCCTCTACCCATCTATCCCATCGTGTTGTTAATTAAATCACCCAGATCAATACAGCTTTGCAAAAAGTTAAAATAGGCAAGTTACTATGTGATGGGAAAAAAACTTGGGTGTCCATAATCTATTATGGAAACCATTCTCATATCAAACTTAACAAAACCCAAATACCTTAATGTCATCAACCTAGCAGCACTTGCAGCTAAGATATTTACATCCCAAATAGAAATGACTAGAGTCAACCATTAACCTGGGGCCTGGACTACGCAAACTTGCACAGTGCAGAAACCAGTCAGAAATTAGTAAGACTAGGTTGCTAAGGATCCCCCCCCCCCAACACACACACACACAGAATTAAAGAGAAACAGGGGGGCTGGGGAAAGGACAGTATTAATGTCAATCAGTTTAGCACATTTGTATCACAGATTCACAGACAAGCATGATTGAACAGAGTCAAGATCAGATTGGTTACTAAAGGGATTCTGGGATTATACAAGAACAGGTGCCATAGCAAAATTGGAACCAGACTATAGCTTAAGCAATCTCATTCTTTTAAAAGTTTACATTATACTAGATCAGGCTAATATTAATTTAGAATATCTCCAGCTTAAGCAATCTCAATCTATCAGGCTTATATTAATTTAGAATTTCTCCCCTGCTAAAGGGTGGGTTAGGGTGATATAAGCACCTCCTCCATTAATGAGGATAAAGAAGAAGCCAGCTGCAAAATAACAGCTCAGGTATAACCACCATATAATTCACCATCTTGCAATCAACTAGCAACAATGGCTGACCCGATAATAAATGAGGAGCACCTTAGATTAACCCCAATTTTGGGTCAAGTAGAGTTGAGGCCAGCAGTTTATCCCAGTGTTGGACCAATCAATAACAATACTGAACAAGCTATTCATGATATGAATCAAGTAGTAGAGACTTTCTTCTAAATTTGGGAGGATGGGTTCAGAAGATACTGCAGGCCTTAGTGTCAAGTGCAGCAGTACATCAAAACTTAAAAGTCAGCAATCAGGACAGGGTCAGTAAGACGCTTAATCTAGGAACTGGAGAAGTAGAGGGATTGAATACTACAAAAAAAAAATTCCTAGAGATCCTTGGTCCAATCTATTTGGGGATTCTGGATTCATACCTGCATCAAAGGAAGTTACCCATGGTTTTGTGGCACTTGTGATGAAATACGTGAAGATAATTTGCGCAATTAAGAGGAGCTCGGTAAGATGGTTGAAAATCGGAATGCTTCCGTTGTTCTGTTTGTTCTAGGTGTGACTCCTAAGGTTGCAGCTTTTTCATTCATAGCTTCTAATTGGAGCCTTTTCTACTAAATAAGAGGTATTCCTTCTTGTTGAAGGTTATTTTGTCATTCACTTTCAATCTATGGATGACAAAATGCAGTGATTTACTGAATACAGCATATCTTCTTCTCAATACCCATACTTGTTAAACCATGGACTCCTAGGCTATGAGAAAATGGTGATTTTTGTATGGATATAGCTGCCTAACTTGCCTCACCACTATTTAAGTGCTGATAATAGACTAGAATAAGTAGTTTATTAGTGATAGTGTTCCATTATATGCTACTCAGAACACATCTAAGCAAATAAGGGCGGCAAAAATGGATGTTAATCTTTAGCTTCTAGCATTTGGACTGAAGATCCTCATAGTGGCCTGCAGGAACAGCAAGGTATTACCAATTTTAAAGCTTATTCATTGGTTGGTCATGACTTAAATACTTAGGTGCTTCCTCAGCCAGCATATTCTGCCCAGAACTAATGTGGTTCCAAACCAATTAATTGAAAAATGTATGTATCATTGTTTGTGAATTCTACCACTTCACCACATCAATCTGTCCCTCCCACTAGGGCCAAGACCTCTATCCTGCAGCAGGGTGGAAGTCTCTAGACTCAGGAAAGCAGCCTGTTATCTATGTGAAAAATACTTTTCAATTTTCTTTATGAGAATGAAGAAGTTACTGATAGTGAATTGAATTAGGAAACGGGTAATAGCCTGCAAGGCCATGATGAACAGGTAATCCCTGGCAACAATACTCTCATAAACTATTATATTTATTCTTTGAATGTAAGAGGACTAATTGATCCTCAATAGGAAGTGGAAGTTAAACATTCTCTGTCAAAAATTATATACTCCTATATGTTAAATGTATATTAGAAGCCATAGTGATATAAGGATAAAACAAATATAAGAAATTTGGTGTGTTAGGTGTTCCATTATATGCTAACAACAATAATTAAAATAAAGTACATTTGAAATATAAGGTTATTGCAAATAGTGTCTATTGATCACATAGACTCATGCATTTAGTTCTTCAATAAGCTATACAAACCTCTTTATAGCAGATACTTCGTATAACTTTACACTAAATTGCTCATTACAAAATAGATTTAAAAAGATAAGCTACTCACAGCATCTTCCATGGTCGTACGCCAACCTTGCATTGAAGACAATCCAAATCTAACCTTACTGTTTTCACCATCCTCGGAGAATTTCTCAGTCTTAGGTGTGCTAAGGTAGACACCCATCTTTTAGCTGAAACCAAACAAAAAAACTCTTAAACTTCAAACACAAAAAAATTCCTAAAACCAACTACAGAACCATCTAGTTCTCAGTACTCAGTATAAGGTATCACCTGTGGCAAAGTAAAGGAATTTTAAAATAAAAAACAAAAGGCCAAAATCTGGATAAGAGCTCCAAGAATTACACGTAATTATCCAAAACAAAAGCATTTAGGTTAAATTACATCAAGAAACACAGTAATTAGACCAATTGCCAAACATCTACGTCAAGAAATACAATCATGTACTCCCTCCGCCCCTAAATTACATTCATACTTCTCTCTATTATGTGAGGAATAAATGCTAGAAGTAGGAGTGTAATTTAGGGATAGAGGGAGTATTGAACTCGACCAATTGCCAAATATGTACAATTTTACATCAAGAAACACAATAATTGGAGGACCAATTGCCAAATATCTACATCAAGAAACACAAACATGCACCGAACTCGACCAAATGCCAATACCTCAAGAAACTCAATTTTCTTCTAACTGCCAACTATAAACATCAAGAAACACATGTATGCACGGAACTCAACCAATTGCCAAATTTCTACAGCAACTAACACAATTATTCTCTCTTTCAAATAGAATTTCTCAGTACAATTAGGAAGCAACAATAATTTTATGCTACAATCTCAAACAAGAATGAACAACAAAACAAATCGACCCATTACACAGTTCAGCAAAATTGGATCCACTACAGAAAACCCAGATCAAATTACACAAAAAATTCACTGATCTAAGCATAAACAACCTCCATTAAAGCAAATCACAACTGGGTATTTCCAAGCATTGCAGAATTAAAGAAACCCAGCTAATTAAACTTCAAAATAATAGAATTATGGAAACCCCAGTTGATTATACTTTAAAATTACAGAATTATGCAGACCCCAGTTGATTAAAGTTAGAAAAATAGACAAAAAGTCAAAAAAATTATTAAAAAAATATATAATTGAAAATTGGAAAATGAAACTAGAGTATATTACTACTTACTTGACTACTAGAAATGTTGATCAAGTCCAGAAATTAGGAGAGAGAAAGTGAAAAGTTTAGTGTATATAGATTTATAGGACAAGTACCATTAATCTATCATTATTATACCCTCGAAAAAAGCAGATTAAACAATAATTAACACACAAAAAAATTAAGAAAAAGATTTACAGTTTATCTTCTGAGAAATGAGGAATTAATAAAATAATTGGTGGATATTTGATGTGATGAAAAGGATTGAAAGTGAAATGGGCCAATCCAGAAAACGAAGAGGATATGGCTGCTGCCTGCTGGGTTTGCTTTTGTTTATGAGAAATTTTCTAGGACTACTTTCTTTTTCGAGGATATTCTCTCTTTTTTTTACCTTTTTTTTTTTGTTGAAAAATAATCACAATGTATGGAATGATATGAAGTATTATACAAAGTTACAAACGATTATGGTCGATAAGATTGGGTTGGGTTTGTGCTTAGATTAATTAATAAGAATAGATCGAGAGCAATAATTGAATGATATAATTACACTTACAATAAAAGCCGTCGGTTAATGCATCCAATGAGGAGTGCGTGTTTAGATTTCTACAAGTAGTAATTAGATGGAGAATAATTACTGAATTATATGAAGTATTACACATATAATACGCTAATATAAGAGCTAGGTTTGGGTTTATAAAGTTTATGGATTGTATCAATGACGTGGAATAAAACTTTTATGGATGGTATCAATGAGTTGGTTTGTTGGAACAAATCTTGTCAACATCAATATTTCATATTGCGATCCCTAAATGTAAGAAAAACATGATCCTAGAAAAATAAAAGAATTTTTTATTTACAAGTAATTCATACTCCGTAATAAAGATTAACAATTGTCCTAGAAAAAAAAAATCCAAAAAGAGAGCCAATTTATATACATCAAATAAAAAGAGATGTGAGAAAAAGGAAGAGGTGGCTTGCTGGCACCTGAAAACTGATTGCCAAAAAAAAAAGAAAAAAAAGAGTAAAAAAAAAGTGGTGAGCTGTATACCCTGTAGTCAGAGTCAGAACTAGAATGCTTCTTTCAAGGATCATGCTAAGAAAGAGCCTTTGTGCAAAAAGTAGGCCTTAAAAAATAAAGGCAAATCATAATCAGATCTTAATCAGCTGAATTATCCACAACAAATTACTCTAAAAAGTCATCAATCAAATATTCATTCTACTGTGTGAATGATTCACTTAGTCTTAGGAGTAACTATTTCGATTTCGTAGTTTTCCCAACACCCTAACCTTGGGAATAAACACCGACTACTATATATAGAGACGGAAGAAGTATTTCACTTGAACATTGAGAAAAAGTTACAAAAGAATAACAATAACATAGGGACAATCTGTAAGACTACCACCTGAACTCTTTAGTCTAACTTGACTCCCCATCCAAAAACCTATGCGTTTTTCTGTTGGGCTCAATGACGCCACAAACCAGCAGTTTTGACACCCCCTTCAGTCCTTCACGTCCATCATTTCCCTCCACCTAGCCGCTCTTCCCATTAACCAAAAGATGCATACAAATTAATCATCATAATCTTCCCATCACTAAGCCCTCGGCCTTTATCCATAATCAGTCTTGCAACTTTCTTGCCTACCTTGTTATCTTGATGAATAACACAGGCACTCAGCAATGCGCCTAAGATCCTGGCTCAAATGGCATTGATTCCACAAGTTCCAATGCTTGGTTAAGCAAGTTGGCATGGCCCAAGAGATCAACCATGCAACCACAGTGTTCCAGTTTAGAGGAAATACCAAAGTCTTTGTTGAGCATCAATTTTAAATAACTACATGCACCAAGTATAGCAGTGCAGGTTATGTCATCAGGATTCAAGGAGCTGTCAGTTGTCACAATTCACTGCATTGAAGAGTTTTAGTGCTTCAGAACCATGGCCATTACGAGCAAGTCCTGAAATAATTGCGTTCTTGCAGAACACGTCCTTACTAGAGAGTTACAGAGCACCACTAAAGCGCAATTAATGGTCCCAAATTTGGCATGCATTTCAATCAATGCAGTAGTAACTTTGGGAGACATGAGATTGATGCTCCAACTCCAGGTTCAAGGGAACTCAGATGAGCACATGCAGCTAAAACACCAGCTACAGTTAAGCGGTCAGGTTTAAAATATTGAGCCTTCATTTCATCAAAGAGTCCAATAGCATCAGTGTAAAGTTCAATATGTAAGTATCCACTTAGCATGGCTATGTAACGATGATTTTGCTCAGTGCCTTCTCAAATAGTATACGTGCTTTCTCCATACACCCAGTCACCCTGCTAGCTTGCATGCCAAGATCATCAAATTCCACGAGGCTACATCTTCTTCAGGGGCTGATTTAAGAAAAATCTGAGCCAACTCCAATTCTCCGGCTTTTGCATACCCGGAGTCCGGAGATCATGATATTAAATGAAATAAGCTTAGTTCCAGCCTTCCCGGCAATGGTTTTCTTCAAAAGTATCTTCTCAAATACCTTGGATGCACCCTTTATAGAATCTTATGAATCACGAGCGGCACACTTTATATATCTCCTCTGTCTACAAGGTGAACAGCGCTGAATATCCTTGAAAGTTGAATGCATGTTCAAGAGAGAGATCTGCACTAACAGGTGAATGCCACTTTTTATCCCTTGCCCATGAAGGGGCATGAACAGCATGAACTCATGAAGAGGGAACGTCAAATTGCTGCCTCAAGTAGTAAGGGGAATGTGAAGTTATCAGGATAACTTCCGCTTTCTCTCATACGAAATAAAGTTGAAAAGGCCAACTTAACATACCCCTCCTGCATTTGTTTCTTGATTGCTTTATCTCAGCTTATCAGGTGACACAGAGAGCTAAGAACCCCATCTACAACTTTAAAAAAAAAAAAAAAAAAAGTGTGACCAGAAAATATTATCCAGAAAATATCTAAAGAATCAGCAAATCAGCAAGGAGAACAAGACATTTCAAAATGACAAAGGAGACTGAACTATAAACTCAAGACGGACCAGTAAAGTCATTGTCGTACTTGTTGAAGATAATAAAGCAGCAGGGCCACAAATTCAGACACATAATTCAAGAAAGATGCTATTTTTATTCATTCCATTCAAGATATTCAAGATAAGACAGAAAGATGTACAAAACTCATCAACTTATCTCTAGGAAAAAGGACAATCCCGACATCTTATGCTACAAAAAGGTGTTAGATCCTCGACACATTGCAGCAGCAAACAAGCAAGGTGCAGACATTTAGCTGCTAGAAAGGGCAGTTTAACTAAACATGCTAAACTAATAAGAGTTTCAAATGCCCAATTACCAGACATGTAAGAAAAATGAATAGAGCTATATACATATCATATCTGCAGTAAAGCCACCCATGGTTTTTATGAAAATCACAACAAAAATATTGACTTTTCATTGAGAAAGGGTTGAAGAGTGCAATGCCATTCATTGTGAAGCCTATAAATGACAGCATACAGTCCACCCATTTTAGTTCTTCTTAATAGCTATCAAAGATGTTCTACATCTTTTAAGGTAGGCAAATAAAAATCACAAGGTAAGACAGCTCCAAAACATACAACAATACAATTAGTCATGTTTACGTACTGTAAATGTGATTACTGCAGCACAAACACTTGCTGCTTATGAAATTTAAACCACTGACCTTGGAACTAGCAGTCCCCACACAAAAAAATTGGCTAAAACTTGTAAAAGTTCAACTAAGCTATTGACGACGAGGACTCTTAGCAATTAAGGGTACACTCTGTCTAGAATTTTATGGCCATATTTAGGTTGAGGGAGGGGGATCTACAAATTGTGACTGTATGTGGGCAATACAAGGGCATCCTAAACTCAAAAAATGTCCATCTCAATACCCACAAGTTATTGACAGTCCATTTTATTGGCAGAAGCATGTACTCAGTACCCAGCCGTGAGATGGACAACAGTGTCAGTTTGTTTCAAGATAAAAGTACCAACCCATTAAGACATATTAAGTCTTGGATTACAACAAAAGGCCTTTAGACAACCAGTTGTAGTTGCTTTAAATACCTGGGCAAATGTACCAACTCGTAAAGTCGTAATGTCTCAGATAGCATGTGCTACAGCATACAATATCAACCATCTATTAACATTATGACTCTGCACAATCACTGAATGAATGCTTTTTCACAGCTCTCAAAGCTATAGCCAGCATCTCTCTTTCCAGAATCCTGTGAAATTGTCCCATGAACAAAATAGAATGTAGCTTAAACAATATGCAGGGAATAGCCTTTATACAAAAGTAGATATATATATATATATACTATGAATGAAAGGTTAAACACAATCTGCTATTAGCTACTTTCCATTTTTAGTGTGATAACTGCAAGTCTTTGGTGTTCTAAACTATGCTAAACGCCCATACTCAAGTTCAGATTTTTACTTAAATTCAGTCTGAAATAGAAACCATAAATTTGCTCCAGAGAGATTGTCCATTTCGTAAACTGTCATCACAGCTTATAAAGTAGACAGTCTTTCCGGTAAAAAGGGATTGGTCTACATGTATGTAGGCCCCATACATCCCTCAAAACAACGCCAGTAGCCCACTTTAAAAACCCACATATTACTCTGTGTGCAGGTTTCTCTACCTTCTGAGTGGACATGGCTCCAGTAATCAGGTACTCTACAACGAGACAGCTATCATCCCTGGAAAGGGGAAAAAAGATCAGTGATTTAATTCAAGTTTCAAAACACAATAATAATATCATGTTCACCAACTAGTCATCAAAACATAGAAAATATAAATCAAAAATAACAGTTCTCTTTGTAATCTAGTTTATGAATGTTGCTACAACTTAAATACCATGCAATTATGCAAGTCAACAACATGACCATGCTAAACTATATAGTATCTAAAACAAAAACAGAGAAAGCACCATCTGTGCAGGAGTTCACAAAAAATTGGAGTCATTATGTATGTACCTATGTTTTAGTATACACAGACAACACAGTGTATCTGTGTATGCTTACGTAAGCCGGAATGAGTTTACCTTTGTTAAACTGTAGCAAGAGCACTAGAATGCTACCATTTAAATGTATAGAGGCTGAGATTATTGATAGAAAAACCACCATCCCTCACCCCCAGCCACACACTAAAGAAGTCATTAATTTATTTTTAGTTGGTACGTGAGGCAGTCATTAATGTTAATTGAATGCTCGAAGGGAATTGTTGTAAATCATCCAGTCACAAATTCATTAGGTTTCCTCTTCCTGATTTAGTACATGGGTGCCTTCTGCTGAAAGAATACAGTAAAAGTCTCGAAACCACTAATAGTCCCCTTACCCTCCCCCCCTCCACACCCTTTCGAAAGACAACCAATAATAATGGATTAAGATACTTCATGCTAGTTTATTCTAAAGGTCATTCAAATGAGATGAAACTTTCACCCGCAATTCTTCCAGTGTCATTCTAGCTCTTAACACATTAACTTTATGCACCACTCCTTTGTATCATATGATTTAATTAAAATATACTCACACAAATCATTACAAAAATCACTAGATAAAATATCTAATGCTTTTTGAACCACTGAAAATCCGACAATATAGAAGTTTCTAGTTATCCTTTTTCTAAATATCCATGTTAGTATAGTCTACATGGGCACCTTGTTAACATGCTACACAAAAACCAAACAATTCAATGTTAATCCGATTATTTAAGTAAAGCATGACATTGCAACCCACTGTACATGGACAACAGAGATACACATCTCTAATATAGCCTTCCCATCAAAGCAAAAACAACAGCAAGGCATTTCACGAGACACAAAATTAAGAGGCCTTAGGAATTAAGATCTATGCAACCTTTCCCATCACAATATCAAGACTATTATTTAAATAATTCAGTCACATAACCAATAAGAGCATTAAATCCTCCCAATAGGCAACTATGTGTATGTTGGTTATTATTGAGGATTGCTACACTAGTGCAATACCCATTATTACCCAACAACGTTGGTGTATGTCCATATTTACAGCAAACGCACATTATTTAAGTGATCCACCAAGAATTAGGACTAAAATAACCTTATTGCAAACTTTCAAATCCATTCTAGGCTGCAATTTGCTAATTCTTATTTAGAGTATGATATAAATTTACCATACTCGAGTTCACATTTATAATAAACCCATTCTGAGATAGAAACTGACAATGATACCCTTGCTCCATGAAGCTAATTTTATTTGTAAATTAATCATCTAAGATAATACACAGTTTGTTTGTTTTTTTTTTTTTTTTTTTTTTTGTGGGGGAGGGGGGGGGGATATACCTGTGCGTAGGCTCCATTTGGGCTCTCCGAATAATGCTTAGCCCACTTAAACATCCACATAAACTTTTTGGCCAGTTACCAATCAACTAATACTCAAACAAAGAAACAAATACCACCCTTGTGATCAGGATAACAGGTTAAACCCATTAACCTTGTTCAAATCAATAATGAGATCTATTACCAACTAGTTACCGATTCATCGTTATCACACACCATGAATGGTATATAGTTCTCCACCCCGGTGAGCTACTACATGAATTCAATTAAAACCTTGAAGTTATGCATGTCAATTATGCATACATGTAATATAATATATAATCCAATGAAATGAACCAGAATAGGCGCTTCATATGCACAAATTCACTTACAAAAATTGCAATTATCTAGTTCGTATAATATTCATAGGTAGTGTGTATGTAGGCCTTGCATGAGCTTTCTACTCAAGGAGCCCACTTAAATACCCATGCATTACTCTATGCCAATATGTGACACGAGCATAAGTACACTACCATGAGATGAGATTAACTGGATGCTTAGTAAAAACAGTCAACTCCACCTACATATAAGAGGAAGTCATAAATCCAACTTTAGTTGATATATCAAACACTTAAAGGACATGTTGTAGTCATGAATTAGATATAAGCTATTATTCTCTCCCTGTTGTTAGCAAATAGTGTATGCGTGTTATTTGTAGAAAGAACAGATTATATGTCCTGTAACCACATAGAATTGATAGAACCCCCCCATGGACAAACTAATCGATTTAGATTTTTCATTATATGTAATTTAAAGATCACCAAATGAAACAACACAAACTTTACAATCATTGCAATCACAACACCAAGAAGGTAAGAACCTAATGCGATAATCACATTATAAGCTCCCAAACTTCCTTTGATGTCCCTCAACCTCCAATACAAAAATTTTATGCACCACCCCTTTGCATCATTGAACTCAATTACTAAGATATACAAAAAACTATGACAATTGCAAAAACATCACAAGTAATTAAGTCAAGGCTTTTAATTAGCAGTAATAAAAACATTGACATGAAAATATAGAAGCAGTTTCTAGTCATCCCTCATTCATGTTCGTAGGTCCCTTGAGGCCATCCTGTGAACTACACAAGAAATCCTCACAAAATCCAACACTTCAATATTTGTCCATCATTACACAAGTATGCGACATCACACCCCGCCGTACCATGGACAACAAATCTACACAACTTGGCAACAACAATGGATATCATGCAACTAAAAAGTAACCAGTCTAGGGAGGTCAAGATGTATGCAACCTTGCCTATAACAAAATCAAGAACTTGTTTAAAACTACTAAATCAATGAAACCATAAGACCTTCAAATCTTAGCCAGTCGGCGAATGTGTATATGTTGGTTATTATTGAGAATTGCCACACTAGTGCAATACCCATTACTACCCAACAACTTTGATGTTCGTCCATATTTACAGCAAAACACATTTTTTAAGTGATCCACCAAGAATTAGGACTAAAATAGCCTTACATAAACTTTCAAATCCATTCTAGGGTGCAATCAACTACTACTTATTTTTAATATAATGGCGCATATGTATGTCATAATTGAGATCACAATTATAATACACCCAGTCCGAAACAAAAGCTATCAATATCGCAAGAAGACTGTCCATCTTGTAAATTATCATCACATATGGTAAACAATCTTTCGGGGGATATACATGTATGTAGGCTCCATACAGTCTCTCTAAATAATGAATTCGCCCTCTTAAACATACATATAAAACTATATGGCTAGCTAGTTACTCCAGTTAATGGGTACTCAAACAAAGAAACAATTACTATCCTAGTGACCAGGTTAAGAGGAAAAAACCATGAATCTAGTTCTATACCAATAACGAGATTCTGTCATCAACTAGTCATCAATTCATTGTGACCACACACCATGAATGGTAATTCTCGTCCCCTGTGAACTAGTAGATAAAATCTGTTAAACAATGTGTACACATAAAATCATATAATCCAAATAAGCAGTATATGTGCATAATTTAATTCACTTGTAGCTAGCATGTAAAATTTGTAAATAGGCCATGGATGAGGTTTCTACTTAAGAATCCTGATCAAAACCCACGCATTACTCTATGCTAAGTTGTAATAGGCCTTACACTACCATCAGAAGATACAAAGGCTTGAATTCTCAATAAAACAACCACTTATCCAAGCAAAACAAACAAAATAAAAACATTGCAATCACATCACCAACAATCTAACGCCTAAATAGCACATTATAAGCTCCACAATTCCTTTGATGTCTCTCAAACTCAAATAGTCTAATGCAAGAACCTTATGCACCAACTCTTTACTTCACTGAACTCAATTACAAAACAAACAACTATCATTGCAGAAACATCACCACCTATTAGTTAAATGTTTTTAAATAACTCCAATAAAAACCATGCTATGAAATGGTTCTAGTCATACTTTCATATGTTCTTAGGTCCAAAAAGGCATCCTGAGTATACTACACAGGAAGTCCAAATAAAAACCAACATTTCAATGTTTGTCCATTACTACACGAGTGTGCGACATTGCAGCCCGCCGTCCCATGGACAACAAATATATATACCTTTAACAAAATCTTCCCATCAAAGTAACAACAACAATGGATATCATGTAACTCAAAATTAAGATGTATGCAACCTTGCCTACCACAAACCAAGATCAGTGATCAAAACTTTTAATCAAACAAACCACAAGAGCTATAAATCTTACCCAGAGGACAAATGTATGTATGTTGGTTCAAATTGAGGATTGCCACACTACTGCAATATCCATTACTACCCAACAACTTTAGTTTTTGCCCATATTTACAGCAGATGCACATTATTTAAGTGACCCACCAAGAATTAGGGCATTAATAAGTTAATAACCTATTTTTATGATATTCACTAGAACCATTCTAGCTTCCACTTAGCAGAAGTGCAGAACTTGTAAATTCCAGAAATAATCGAAAACCCCACATCAAATCTGGTGTTTCTAAACATATTCGATTCATCCAAATGCATAATAATTTCTAAACATTACCCCATTCAACAAAAATGAGTAAAACATGAACAAACTGCAATTCCCATACAAAAAACTGAAACCCCACATCAAATCTGGCAATTTATAACATGATTTCGTACACTACATAATCAAATAAATAGTGAAAAAGAGAAATGAAACAACCTAGTATAACTTCAATATTGATATTGGGTGACAGAAATAAAAGTTAAAAATAATAAATAAATAAAATTAAAAAAAAAAAGGGGGTAGGAGAATACCAAATGCAGGTTCAGAACTAAACCATAGAAAGAAAGCCTTCAATGGAAAAAAGATTAAGGCTTTCTTTCAATGTGAATGGTTCAAGAATCAAGACCTCCATTTCCTGGGATTCTCCAATATTTTCAAACGAATACAAACCATGCAAAATCCAGGAATCCAATTAAATTCGGGATTCTTAAAAAATTATACTCATACTTCATTACTTTGAGTTATTAAATTATGCAATAGTAAGTTGTAATGCATGTTATGTGGTTGATTAAAAGAATCCAACTTGACCCGATTAGGCTTGACCCGACTCGTTCAACAAGCCTGATTATGTCGGGTTGTTACATAATGCTAATTTCTAGCTAAACCAATAATTAATCCTCCATTTTCAATTAATAATTCATTCAGTGAAAATTTTATCTTGGGCGAAAGAATTACCTTAATCATCAAAGCCCAACAAAATTATCAACCAAAAATGGGATACTCAAAAATATAATTTACATTGACTAACCTCTACTGCTACACCAAGAGGTGGAGGAAGAAAGGGGTTTCTGGGAATTCCAAAAACCCTAATTTCCCAAAATAGGGCTTGTTTTTGCTCTCATTTGACGATTGAGATTGCCGAAACGTTTCAACCCTGCATTATAAAGATTATAAGAGAGAGAATCAGAGAAAATCTGTGTAAAGAAGAAGGGAGAGAAAAGGTTGAAGGTGATTAAGTAGGAGCTAACCTTGGAGTTTGCCGCCATTTTTTGTTGCATATTTCAAAATGTTTGCTGGAAAAGCTCACAAGAAGCAGCAAAAGTTGTGAAGATGTGAGCTTTCTTTTTTATAATGGGCTAATTGTCGATGAGCCCATTTTTGGGTTCAAATTCCAATCCCACTATAGACCTGGAATTGAATTGACCAAGTAACCCCCGAAAAAGCGTGGTCATTTATTCCGTATATCTGTGTTCAAAATTTCAATGTTTGTCCATTATTACTTGAGGGAGTAAAATAAACAATTTTTGTTAATTTGGTGGCAAATATGTTAGTATGTAAATATATTTAAAAAGCGTGATTTTTTTTTTATATTTAGTGAGCTATCCAATTACTGTTTTTAACTTGTATTTAGGAAATTACACATGTACCCCTCGACTAGGGCTGATCACACTGAGCCCGGCCCGCAAGCCCGATTTTGGGCGAGTTTTAGGCAGATCCAAAATCGGGTCTACAAATTTTTACCTAGACTCTAGGGTAGGTAGAAGTCCCTACACCCCCTCCCCACTGTATAACCCTATACTCTTCCCCACTACATCCCTCCCATCCTTTATCCACCTCTTACAAATTATTGCAACTATCACCGCATCTTATCCCCAATTATATATCTATCTATCTTTATCAACTCTAACTATAGCATAGTCCGTCCATTTCTGGCGATTTCACCGCCGTTCTCTTCTTCTCCGGCGATATTCTATAACTCGTCCCGTCTGCACTATGAGCTCCGATAAAATCTCAAAATTGATCACTTTAAAACACTCGATTTGTATGAAGAATCTCGGATCTTCGAAATTAAATTTAGTGGCAGTTTCAGTCGTGCTTCTAGTGGCAACAGTTGTGGTTATGGTGGTAGTCGTGGTTATGCGGCGGTAAGCGTATTGAAAGCAGAGAATTAAAAGAAGGTTTTGATTACATGGAGTGATGGAGTAAAAGTAGATGTGGAAGATGAAATTTCATCGCATCACCACCACCATGGATCATTTGTCACTGAAAAAGCATGGCAGCTTGAAGGATTTAGCTTGGTGATGGGGCTAGAATATCGAACAAAGGAATTTCGAAATTGTTGGCAAACTTTTTATAATTGAACATTTAATATTTTTTAAATGAACATTTTTAATGGTTGTAAAAATGAACATTTATTTATGGATCGGAGCATTAAAATAACCTATAGCGGTTAACGTATCACTTGCAAATTTATTCATTGACCAATGAAAAAAAAACATCTTTCAATTAAAAACTAAGTACTCCATATCTAAAAGTTAATAACATAAAAATAATAAGATATGTTAATTGTAAAATATTCAATAATATGCAAATGAACATTTAGTATTATGAATATGTATTGTTTTAATGTTCATTTTTATATGCGTAAGTGTTCATTGTTACATAATATAACAAATTTTATAAATATAACTAATACAATACATGATATAATAAGTGTTTAAGTATCAAAATGAACCTTTAAATATATGTAACTGTTCATTTAAATAAAATGCATGTAATTGTTTAGTATTAAATTATCATGAATAAAAATAAAATGAGCATGTATGAAAATGAACATCTGTATATAATAAAAAAAATTCAATACTTTTTATATAAATTTTTTAGAAAGGTTGTTTGAAGGAGTTCTAAAAACTTTATGAGAAGGAATTTGTAAATTAGAAATAATCATATTATCAGCTTTCAAAATTTACATATATATTTGTCTTTTTAATTGAACATCCTAGTATATTAAAAATGTACATATTCATATTAGACAATTGTTCAAGAAAATGTTAAAAAAAATGCTAAATCATTACTTCAAGTTGTTTAGATTTCTGAACATTTTTTATTTTATTTATGAAGATGTTACTTTCCTAATATGAACACTTTATAGTGTTTAGGATGGAGATCATCCCATAAAAGGTTGGTGTGTCACTAACTCATTACTTTATCCATTTTACTCTTAGAATTTAAATTTATAGTATTAATTTAATAAATTTTTTTGTTGACGAATTGGCTGGCAATTTAATTGGGACATCTTTCCCTAAGATTTTATCATTATTTAGGTAGGATTTATCAATGAAAAAGAGTAAAGAATCATGTTAGTAAGGAGTACGGTTAGGATTTATTTTGTAATTTTGATTGTAATCTTATTATTTGATTGTTGCATTTTCAGTTTTGTGCGTCTTATATAAACATTTGTAGTTGTTATAATATTACTAAACCGATTATTTTTATCACCTTGGTGTGTCATTTAAAAATAATCTTAGTTAAAAAAAATGATCACTTGTGTAATAGTAAATGTTCAATTATGTTTAATGTATGTTTCCGTAGTAAACTATAAGTTTATTGTAGTCGTATACGAAAATATATGTTGTACTTGTTAATTTCAATTATTTTCATTCTTTTAAAGACGCTCATATAAATTTTAACTAGTGAACATAGTTTAACATTTGTTATTCTGTTTTGTTGTAATAATGTTCAATTATGCAATTATAAATGTTCATTTATATATACACTTGTGTTTATAGAATTATAAGTTGTACATGTAACTTTTAATGATTATCACTGTTTTGTAGTTTCATTAATAATGTTTAGTTATGTAACTATAGATGATCATTTATATTTTTACATATGGTAATTTTACTGTAATTGAATAAATGCATTATTGTAATTGACCATTATTGCTACTGTATTTGTTCATTTATTACATGTTTAATTATTGCAGTGGGAACAGAGGATGCTGTTATTTTTGAAGAAGTAGGTCACTTTGATTTTTGGGGGAAACGATTTTCTTCTGAAGATGATGCTTATGAAATGTATAATGAGTATGCTTTTATGAAAGGTTTTGGGATCAGAGTTGGGAGGAGTAAGAGGCGAAGGGATGACTCATTTTTTATGAAATGATTTATTTGTTCTAATAAGGGTTATAAAGATAATAAGTGTAGAAATATTAGGTCCTATGAGAAACTTGATAAAAAACTGAATGTTTAACTTTTGTACAGTTTCCTATTGATCGTTCAGGTGTGTTTATGAATATATAGTGTCAAATATTCTAATATAGTTAGTGAATGATGGTTCAAAGTTATCAAAACCATATTAGTTTATATATATACTATTTAAATGTTTGCTTTTGAAGGATGTGATTTGTAATAATACTTTGGGAAATAAAAAAAGTTTATAACCTTCTTATTAAAATCAAATAGAAATTGTATATCACCAAAAATTAAAATACTGAATATTAAATATACAACTCAATTCTACACATATTATTATACACAATGAATTCTCGATCTAAAATCGAAAAACTCAAACTAGTGTTATTGGTTGATGTTGCGCAAATCCATGCACTCTTGATTTCCTTATTTTTGTCGTCTTCCTTTTTTTTCTTTGCTATCGTGTGGTGTAACTCACTATATCCACGATTCTTTGTTTAAATTATAGACAAAAACAAGAATTGTTAGTTAGATTTGAGCAAGAATAAGTGTTGAAATGAACCAATTTTTATATGAATATGAAAATATAACAATTGAAATGATCGATATGGAAATGAACATATATTAATATATAAATGAACATTTATATGTGACGAAACGATCATCTATTAATATGGAATGAACAACTATTAATACAATAATGAACATATTTACATAATTGAATATGAAAATGTACATCTATTAATATATAAATGAACATGCATTAGTTTAAAAATGCCTATGAAATATATCAATCAATGAACATGAAATATGTACGTGAATAACTCTTGAAGCTATCAATATGTAATTTATCATACATGCATTTGAAAAAAAAAAGACGGACATATATTGAAACTCAAAATTTAACCGAGCATGAAATATTTGAAGAAGATGACCAAAATATAAATATTTATCAAAATTCTAGTAGTCGTATATTAATATGGGAAAACCATATACTTTTATGCTATTGAACATATACAAAAATACAAATGAATATTCATCTACAATGACTATGTAGTAATAATTTTCCACTCCAAACTATGAAAAAAGAATGAACATTAATACAATGACTATGTAGTAATATATACATGTAGTAATATATTTATATTAATCATCTATTAACATGTGAATGATTGTATACTAATATATAAATGAACATTTATTAAAACGGAAATGAACATTTAGTAAAAAAGAAACGCTACGAACTAATTTAATTAATGCTTAATTTTCTCCAGATTCTTTGATGTTCTTCTCTGAAACTATTTCCTTCAATTGCAAAAAAAAAAAAAAAAAAAAAAAAAAAAAAAGAAAAAAAAAAGAGGAATATTTCATAGTTCATACCCAAAAATTAAAAGGTACTTATTCAGATTACTAGTTTTTAAACGAAAATTAGTAAAAATTACTAAAATGCAATAGTTCATACTATTTTTCTATGTTTTATACTTCGATGATGATCCTGTAACACAATTGCAACAAAAATTACTAAAACTAGGGTGTATACTCTTTTTTCGAACTAAATATGAACAAAATCACTTTCTCCTTTGAATTTCGACTTTGTTAGTTGAATTCTGTAGTAACTGAATAATTTTTTTGATAATTTGTCATAATTTCGTAGAAATTTTCAGATTTGAAAATGCAAAAAATAAATGTAGAGAGAGAAAATGTAGAAAATGGGTGAGGAGAGAGAAAGTGAAATGATAATGGTCGTTTTTTTTTTCTTTCTTTTGTATGGGGTGGGGGAAACAATACGGTTATTAGCTTATTACTATGTAGTTACTGTAAAAGTGAGTATTTGGGGGAAGGGGTGTTAAACGATGAGTTTAGGGAGGGGTGTAGGGTAAGATGCCTAGACTAGAGTCTAGCCATATATAATTAAATCGGGTTGGGCCCGACCCGATTTTTAAAAAAGTTTGGACGGGTTTGGGAAATGGATTTTTTGCATTTTAAGTTGATTTTTTTTGCCCGACCCGAAATTGGCCCGAAAAGTCCATATGGCCCGACTAGTTTGGGTGGGTTTGGGCACTCGTTTTCTGGGCCAAAGCTTGGCCTGACCCCGGTCCGGCCCGCCCATTGATCACCTCTACCCTCAAGTCCTCAACTAGTATATGAAAAGACGCATGTGTCCCTCCACTGGTACTTGAAAAGACGATTATATCCCCAGATAAATAACTTATCTTGGGAATTAACTGGGCACATCTCTTTTATTACTTCTCCGCATTAGTGTTTTTTTTTTTTTTTTTTTTTTTTTTTTTTGGGGGGGGGGGGTGGGGGAGGTATGTAAAGCTTCCCATATTGGTCTTTGGGAGAGCAGAAAGATGAGAAGGCCAACATCTTAGTTAAGTGTAGTAATTGTTTCATGGATTCGAGCCAAATGTTGTATATGAAGTATTTAAAAATAATGTTGCTTATAGAATCACAAATGGATATGAAAAACCAAAATGTATAAATGTAATTCACAAAACATTTGAGGAAGACAAATACGGTGACTCAATTGATCGATTTACAAGTTTTTCACGACTATATATAGTAGATTCAAGCCTAACAACGACGCAAACTTGGAATAGCACTAGTGCCGTTGAATTTCATACTACAATACTATGCTTTTACTAGCACTTTCATTTAATTTTTACTAGAAGATTTGGCATATAGATGTCAAACATACACTTTTTATTTACCTCCTAAAAATATAGGATTGCTTATAGAAAAAGTATCACTTCAAAGTTGCATAAGTACAAGTGCACTGTAATTTTAGTTTGCAGATATATTCAGAACTAATGATTTTAATTTGTCTTATTTTTTAATCACCAAATTTTCATCCTTGATATCAGAGATATCAATGTGGTGAGTGGTATCAGATAATGATTCCTTTATTTCTATCTTCACCTAAAATTTTCATCTCATCCTCTCCTCCCAAGTTATCGCACACAGTGTGCCATAATGGATACAAAAGTCATTTTCTTTGTTCGCCCTATTAAGTACAAAACTTAATCCATTATCATAGTCTCGATTCAACATGGGCACCATCTAATTGGATATTCATCCTCATTTAATACCCACTTGATATGTCCCATTAACATCCTTACTAATTTTCGTACTCACTTGGAGATTATTCTCATTGACTGAACTGAGCTGAATTAAACTGAACTTATTTAGAGGTGAACTAAACTGAACTTATTAAAGCTGAACTGAACTTATTATCAGAAGAGGCCCTTGATCTATCCCATTATTAACATCCCTCAATCTCTATGTGTAACACCCGTGTTATCCAAATGAAGTACATATCACTTAATGAAGTTGGTTGAAGAGAGACAACAAACGTTGATTGAACATTCACCACAAGATAATTAGAATTTGATTCCAAAAACAATTAATGTTGAAGTAAGCATTCATCAACACGTGTGCTCTTTAACTGCCGTTACAAATCTTCAATCTCCTCCCCAAATTCACTCCCTACTAAAGCTTTAAAGCTCAAATTACAACAATTAGCTGCAAAATTTTAACTCAACAAGCTTCAATTCAATGGCTTTCTCTTCAATTTTCACTTCCCCTTTGCCCTCATTATCAATTTCTTATGCAAGAAATCGCCCTAATTTTTCCCCTTCTATGGCTCTTCACTCAATTTCCAGCAATCTCGGATTTGCGTCTCTAAATTCATCGTTTTTCCAAGATGGGTTTTCTCTAAAATCATTGAATTTTAATGGGGTTTCTGTAAAATCGCAGAATTCTATTTCTTCTGGAGTTTATGCTAGAGCTGCTACTGAACAAACCATCCATGATTATACTGTGAAGGTATTTGCTTCCGTTTGATTTTGCTCAAATTGCGGATTAAATTGTTGTTTTTCAGTAATTATAGTAAAGTTCAAGATTTTACCTTTTGTTCTGTAATTTGGGATTGATCACTTTTATATGTTGAACCTTGTTGCTGAAATTTTAGGTCAGAATGACTGAATTGGTGGAATGTATGCTTGTTTCTTGATTGTGGGATTAGGTTTTAGCCTTTTAGACCAAATTGGGTATGATTGAGATCTGTATAGGTCAGTTGAGCTTATGAATTTGGTTTTGCTAGCTGGACAACCGGGGCGATTACCGGTTGGCTGTCGATTTGTCGAGGCGGGTACTCATTGTTTCTTGTATAAATGAACTATTGGCTCAATTTTCAATTGTGCTGTAGTTGAATTGTTTGAATAACTTTAATTTGGATGAACATTGATTTGAAATTTGAGCATGAATGATCTTAGATTGTAACTACACTTATGAAGCATGTTGTAGGTGGCTTCTTAATGTGAGAGATTTTGCATACCCTTAACCAAGCATTTCTTAATAAATAATGAGTAAAATCATTGTATGAGTCTTTAATTAATGGCTTTCCATAATCTTGGATTTTACTTTTGGGAGGAGGTGTTGGTGCCTAGAAACAGAAAATGGTTTTACATTAGTTCAATTGTGAGCATATTGATTATTGAGGAGAAACATCTTATAATTGCAGAATTGATTGTAATGTATGTGATGCAGGACATTGATGGAAATGATGTAGCTCTTAGCAAATTCAAGGGGAGGGTTCTCTTATGTGTCAATGTTGCTTCAAAGTGGTAATATTTCATCTCCCTTGTAACATTTTTACTCCAAACAACTTTTCCAAAGACATGGTTTATCTACTTTGCAATTTATGGCTTTGATACCTAAGTAAGCAACATGCATCTTCGTATAACACAATGAAATGACTTTTTTGCTTTCAGTGGTTTGACATCATCAAACTATTCAGAACTCTCACACCTGTACGAGAAGTACAAGACTCAGGGTAAGTTGGCTATTTGTTACATATGTTCAATTAGTTTCTAACGTTTGGGGAGCTTTGTTCTGTCTTTAGAGAGAAACTAGTGAATCTTACTTTAATTATTATGGACATTAGTATCAATAAATTATCTAAGTATTCTTTCGTGCATTCTCATGAATTTATTAATGCAATATTATGTCATGTGTACCTGTAGCATAGCCATCACAGTGTAAAAATATTCAATAGCCTCTTCAGTACTTAGGTTTTCTTTTGGCATGCTTCTGAAAACAAGCTAGTGTTGAATGTTTATATTCTACTGAAGTGCTGAAACAAAAAAAAACAAAGCTCTTTATAGATCTCAATAATCAGAACTTTTTGCATTGATAGATGCAATAATAATTGTTTGTTTACAGGCTTTGAGATTCTAGCATTCCCGTGTAATCAATTTGGAGGCCAAGAACCTGGCTCAAATCCCGAGATTAAAAATTTTGCATGTACAAGGTTCAAAGCTGAATTCCCCATTTTTGACAAGGTTTGTTAGTGAACTCAACAGCTCAGAATCACCAGAAAACCATACTTGACTAGTTACTGAAACCATTACTCTTACTGACTGCAACAGGTAGATGTGAATGGTCCTAACACAGCGCCAGTTTACCAGTTTCTCAAGTCAAGTGCTGGTGGGTTTTTTGGTGATTTGATCAAGTGGAATTTTGAGAAGTTTCTGGTGGATAAAAATGGCAAGGTTGTAGAGCGATACCCACCTACAACATCCCCTATCCAAATCGAGGTATGGTCCTGGATTTTTTTCGTTTTAGTTTGTCTTATTGTGCTTCAATATCAAATGTTGTTTCTGCTTTAAGAGGCTGTTGAGATTTTTCCCTTTATCCTCTTTGTATGCATGCCATATTACTTGTCTATACTTAGTCAAACTGGTTCATGTCTTTAATCTACTATTTTATTTCATACGATGTTTATGTTGTATATATTGGTCATTTCTATAATCTGTTTGCACTATGGCGTATCAGATGGATGGTATTTGAAATCATGTAAGCTGAACTCAGGCATTGATGTCGCCTTGTAAAATATGTCCGTGGTAGGTGTTTGTTAGAATATTTCCCCTGGAAGAAGAGCTAGTTAAATACCATTATGGTAGACTTTACTAGTGAATCAACTATTTGGGACTTATTATATGTTAACCAACTATAAATTGTGAAAGTAGATTAATCTCTTCTCTTTCCTACTATGCTAGTAGTGGCTGCAAATTGTAAGAGTTGATTGGCTCTGAAAACTAAACATCCATTGATATGGCAATTAGTAGCAACTTTTATGTATGATTTGAGCACTTAACTACAAATACAGAGACATTAATGTCCTTATACTCATATTCTAAATCTGGTAATCATAATTGGCTCAATTGCTAAGTTACTTAAGATTATATTGATGACATAATGCTTTCTAGTCAAATCTGCAGAGATATATATTTTTTCATGTGCTAACGGGAATAATTTGCTTTGAATTTACAGAAGGACATTCAGAAGCTGCTGGCTGCATAAATCTTCATTACTTATATGCACCTATAAGAGAAGATAAGCGCGGTATTGTTTCATCACTGCAGGATACATCATTTTTTTTCCTCTTTATACTATTTCTCTTCGAGGGAATGATTGTACGAACATGAAATGCAATCCTGATACTTAACTGCTTTATCTTGTTTGTGGATTAGCCATAGTTAGCTCACAATAAGGGCATGGAATTACTATCCTATGACGCTGTAAATAGTTTTTCTTTCTCCCACATGTCAATATGAGTGAAATCGAACCACTCCAAACGAAAACCAAATTTGAATGCAGAGGAGAGACTCATGTAGTCTTATTTATACCTGATGTACACATCTTTTGTCATACAGTAAATGTCATTTTCTTTCGTCTTTGTCACGTAATCATAATGTTCTTGCCCCGGAATTTCATGTAAATCAAAGAGTTGTATGTTGGGAAAGTGATTGATAAATTGTCAGACATAGAGAATGACCTTTCTAGCTAAATGATTGCTTACATTTTTATGTAGAAGGGAACAATATAAGTACAATTGATAGCTTGCTCGATACACGGCCCTTTTTTATAACTTGTGAAAAAAAGTTGTTATTTCCAACTTTGATACATCCAAGATACTTCGTAATATCTTGAGCTTTTTTTTTTTTTTTTTTTTTTTTTGGCAAGGAAAAGGGCCCTATCGGGCCGAAACCTATCATAGATCCTTTCCAAATTGAAAGTTTTTTTTTTTTTTTTTTTTTTTTTTTTTGGGGGGGGGGGGGGGTGGGTGTAAGGGAATCACCACCCCAAATTGAGTGTTTGATTCTTAATTCTTGGCCTGATCTTCTTTGACTACACCCTGTGTAATTTATGGTTAGAACTTTGCCATCCTAATTTATTATCTATTAAGGGGAGTGAAAATCAAAATATGGTTAGAACTTTGCCATCCATTCCAAAATGGCATGATGCAAATCTTATTATTTATTTAACGAGTAATTAATATTATTTTATTTCCTCTAGTTTTAAAAGTTTTTTCTATTTTAAATGCGAACATTTGACAATTATTTCAACCGCTGTTTTACTAGAAAGAATACAATACCGATATTTTGAGTACCAACCTTTGAGTACGCAAAACTTAACTCTCATGCTACTTGGTCATACGACACAAAGTCATAAAGTAGTACAAAAATTGAATCTCCTTAAATTTAGAAACTTTCAAAGTCAACCCCTTTCTCTTTCTTCCCTCCATCCCAATCTCCCATCTGAGGAGCTCCTCTGGCCATGAGCTCCAATGAAACAGAGGAGCTCATCACTCCAAACCCGCCTTCGCCATCACCACCGCCCTCGAAACCCAAACACCACCCTCGAAACCCAACCTCACTTCTTCTCCAACCCTTCCAATGGCTCAAAATGCTCTCCACCACTCTCCACCCCACTTTCATCCTAGGCATCATCCTCTTGTCTACGGCCTCAACCTCGGCTTCTCCGACTCCTACTTCCGTGTCGTAACAGATTACTATTGGAAAGACGTACAAAAAATCAACCCTTCATCAGCTCAGTTCTACATTGGCTTTTACTTCATCCCTTGGATCTTAAGACCTCTCTGGGGGCTCCTTACTGATGTATTCCCTATCATGGGATACCGTCGTAGGCCGTATTTTGTTATTGCTGGTGTTGTTGGTGTTTCATCCGCGGTTCTTGTGACCGTTGCAACGAAGTTGCCTGCTAGCTTGGCTCTCCTTTGTTTCATTGGAGTTCATGGTGGTATGGCAATGGCAACCGCTACAATTGATGCTTGTACTGCTAAGAATAGCATAGAAGTGAAGGAATTAGCAGCTGATTTACAGAGTCTTTGTGGATTTTGCCATTCTTTGGGTGCTTTATTGGGGTATTCTACTAGTGGGTTTCTTGTTCATAAGCTTGGAGCTCAGGTTTGTTTTCTTCATTCTTGTTTAATTATTTTTGTCGAATTTGCTCTCGTTTCGATAGAGCAGTTGTAGTGGGTGGTGATTTTAGGGCGATATAAAATAAATTAGTAAAATTTATTTTATCATACCGTCCATGTAAGGTCGGAATAAATAATAGTTTTTGATTTTAATCGAGAATAAATTACTACTCCGTAATATATTGTTGATGTCAATAATAATAATAATATTTATAATAATTAACCGTATTAGCGTAAAGATAAAAACACGGCTTCAATCTATTTTACATATGGTTAGAATAAATTATTGAAGTGAATATGACAAAGAAACTAATTTTCTTTAAACTTTTGACATTGGAGTAGGAGTAGAATGATGTAATTTAAAGAAAATATCTACTGTAATTTTGTCTAATTGTCACTTTGTGCATGTTTTAATGTTTATGTGTTACATTTCTTAGTAAAAAGAACGGTCATGTTTAGTTGTCATTTTGTGCATGTTATTTAGAGTTCCTAGAATGTAATAAGGCCGCAAAATCATCCAAATAAGCCCAACCAAATCATAAGGCAAGATTAGCATTATTGCAAATCATTCGCTTATTTTATGCAAAAATAATTTTTAGACAATTTGATTTCATTTCTGCGATAAATGCAACTAATACAAGTGTTAGTATTATGTTTCCGATCCACATTTTGAATGATAAGCTGAACAATTTTACTTTATAACCCAGTTTGTCAGATTCATCTTTCTATTACCGATTGGTTATAGGACGGATCATCATTTTGAGCTTTGTTAATATAATCTACATACTCTTACATACTTTCAATTCACAACTAGTATAAAGTATAATACGCTCTTTGTTTCTAAATAAGTGATGCACTCACTATATAACAGATCATAGAGGATTGACTCACTTTTCATGTTAATTGGATGTTTAGACGTTTAGTGCATGATTAATATGTGTAAATACTCCGGAGTTTTTTGGTTGATTGTATGCATTATTAATTAATTTGCTCTGCAAACTCTCAATTTGTAGGGATCACTTGGGATTCTTACTATTGCACCCGCAGCATTCCTTGTTTTGGGATTCCTTATTTATGAATTAAGAGTTGCCAACTCAACTAGTCAAGGTTCTAAGAAGGTAAGTCCCATTGTATGTGATTCCTTATTTTATGGGATTTTTTTTGGTTGGTAAGGAGAAGACCCTATCAGGCTAAAACCTCTTATAGAGTTACAAGTTCACCCAACCTAGATTAGCGGGCTAGGCCCTTTGGGATTGAGCGAGAAGGATAAATAGATTCCCATCCAAAGATCTTTTAGTGGGGATTGATCTCATAAGCTCATGATTGCGAGCTGCAAACTTTCCCACTAGACTTAGTTTGGTGTGCATATAAAGGATGTAGACGTCATTTAGTATTAACATTCATACAATAATGGTTGTAACTTTGATCAATGTTTTTGGGTAAATAATTGCATGATAATGTGTAATGCAGGTTGTAGAGAGGGTAGGAGGCGCAATGGAGGATATGTATAGAACAATAAAGTTTCCTCAAGTGCCACACTCTTCATGTTTCTATCTTTGGCCCTTAGTTATAGCACTCACGAAGGTCATTTTTATTGGTATACCGATCCTGTAGCTGGTCCCGGATTTTCCAAGGTTTTTCAATTTCTCTATCCTTTTACATTTACACGCGATTTACATTTGCACATATAGCCCTTACCTCGGCGAGATTAAGTACACCGACCTTAATATAAAAAGATGACTTTTCATCTAAATATGACCTAATAAAACGAAATAATTCGGTCTAATCAATAATGTGATGTTTTTTCCAAACCTAAATTTACAATGGGGCATTGTGACTAATAGTCCATCTTAAGCATGACACTATTTTTTATTGATTGTAGGAATTCGTAGGAATGATGTATGCAATCGGAGCTGTAGGATCCATGGTTGGTGTATTCATCTACCACAAATTCTTGAAAGACTTCTCACTTAGAGATCTTCTCTTCTATGCTCAACTCTTGTACGCCGCATCTGGAATGTTAGATCTTATGTTCATTCTTAGATGGAATTTACCTCTTGGAATCCCCGATTCAGTCTTCATTATAGTGGAGGAAACTATTTATCACGTAATAGGTCGAATTCGATGGATGCCAATGGTAGTTTTGAGCACAAGGCTTTGCCCTTTAGGCATTGAGGGAACATTTTTTGCACTCCTAATGTGCATTGATAGTGTAGGCTCACTTTCTTCTAAAATGTTGGGAGGCATGGTGCTTCATTATTTGGATATTTCAAGAACTAATTTTAGTAAATTGTGGCTGGCAATTCTAGTAAGAAATTGCTTGAGATTTGGTACAATTGCTTTGATTTTTCTTGTACCAAATGCAACCCAACATGATGTTTTAGTTCCTTCAAACATTACTTCAAATAGGAATACAAGTTCTAGGGTACAAGAAGCAACTATGGAACTTGTACCTCTTAGTGAAAAATTAGACATTTGATTTACCAAAAATTTTGTTTTGTTGTATAGCTTAGGGGCGAGTAGATATTATGTACAAACTCTAAATTTTTAGAGATTGAGTATACAAGTTAATACAATGTTTAATTTGTCTTATTATTGTTAAACAAAAATTAAAGTAGTAAGACGTGTGTCGGATTTGAAATTATTATTTTTTATTATTATTATTTTAAAATTATAGGCAAATACATCACTGCAATATTAGTGAGATTTGGATATTTCTTAGGAGTTTTGAAGGTAAATGTTGATTTAATCTGCCTTTAACTTTATGGGTTGTTTATTTTTATTATTTATGAGACTTTATGATGCAAAATCTATCAAATTATGAGGTAAAAGTGTAAGGCCCCGTTCTTTAGAGCTGCTTTGCTCTGCTCTGCTGAAATCTGCTATGCTCTGCCCTGCTCTGCTTAAAAATAGTACTTAAAAATAGCTGCTTCAATCTGCTTTGCTCTGCTGAAATCTGCTTTGCTCTGCCCTGCCCTGCCCAGAAGCTCAAAAGAACAGGGCCTAAAACTCTTACCTCATATTGATGCTCACAATGCCAAAATTATATAGCGTACAAATAAGATAAACTTGTAAAGAATCCTAGCTATGATCAAATATTAACATAACTCTATCATATGCCAACTAACAATATTCTAATAAAATCTTATCATATGTTTGAGAAAAAAAATATATATTATCATATTTAACCATAATAATAGACTCCGTATATCTTAGTGATTTTATGGTAATTTGATATTGTATAGGATTAGGAAAATTTTGAAGTTTTATAGGCTATAAATACTTGTCAAGATCATCTATACTGTACAATTAAACATTTGCCTCATAAATATTTTACAAGTACTCAATACAATCATATCATGGATGTGTCCGATCTGAGTGACAATTTAGAAAAGTTACAAAATATTGA